TAACTTTTTTTTCCTGCTGAGTTCTATATCTGTCCTAGCCTTTAACAAGTATGCTATGTGTTTTCAAATCCTGTGGGAAGAATAATCTATAGAAAACCCGGTCTTGTACACTAGGAATACCAAGACTAGGAGTTAAGTCTTACAGAAATTATCTGAAATCAACTATTAAAAATTAAAAACAAAATACTGTGAAAGATAAATAATCACATTACAGATATTAAGACACTCTAGGAAAACACAGGCTTGAGACTGTCAATTATTCACTTGAATATCATTGTATAATTATGTAACAAGCCTATGATATGCCAAAGAACGTTTTTGAGTTTTTTTTAAGATTTTATTTATTTATCTTTAGAGGGGAAGGGAAGGAGAGAGGGAGAGAAATATCAATGTATGGCTGCATCCCCCACTGGAAACTGGCCTGCAACCCAGGCATGTGTCCTGACTGGGAATCAAACCTTGATCCTTTGGTTCACAGGCCTGTGCTCAATCCACTGAGCTACACCAGCCAGGCCCAAAGAATGTTTTAATCTTACAGATAAACCACAGCAATTTATGACAACACACCTGGGGTTCAGATTAAATTATAGAAATCAGTAGAGAGCTGACGAAGTGATAATGCTACACTGTAAGACAGTGCACCTCAAGCTTAAACCTGCATACATATTATTCCCAGCAATGTCATTAAAGGGTAGGTTATAATTCAGCAGGTCTGGGTGGGGCCCAGCTCCTGCATTCTTACAAGCTTTCAGGTGAGGATGCCACTGCTGTGGTCACGCACCACCCTTGTAGTAGCAAGGATCAAAGGGACACCAGTGGCTAGAGTTGGGCAGGGTCCTCACCAAACAGTATCTTGATTAGGTACCAGGATCTGGTGCTTTATTCTGAAAGAGCAGAGACTTGTTTTTGTCAATGCCCTGAGAGACACTGAACAACACCAACTAAAAGGCCCATGAAGGACAACACATTCATTTTATAAAGTGAAATATAACAGTACGCAGTCTAGAATATCAACATTTCCCACCGTAGGCACCTCCAATGCCTCAAACTAATTCCCCTTCAATAATGTACAAGGATGGAGTTTCTAGACCTGCAAAGCTGAGGATGAGACCCGGAGAGTGGCAATGTCATCAGGATAATGCCACTCTGTAGGGCGTACGTATCTGACTGGCCAGCTGACATCACCCTGTGACATCTGGATCAGCTATCTCTACTTACAAGAAGCAGGAAAGCCAACCTGTAGAAATAAACAAGTGATAAAAAACACAATGGGAGTAAAATCTAAAAATGAATACATAAGAATTTAGGTTTTTTTCTCATCTGTTTTGATATTAGTGGTTACAGTCTACTGATCAGCACCAAGGGAAAGAGTAAATCCATGAAGGCAGTGGTCTGTTTCCCTGACCACAGTATTCCTAGGACCTAGGAGAATCTCTGACCTGCAGCAGGCACCCGATAAATACATACTGAGTGAATGAACAAATGAGTATTTACAGAGAGTGGGAGTTAATTTCTTTGGTATTTACACTTTAGCACCAAGGACTCCAGGGAGCTACAGAGAACTATCCTTAATAATTTCAACACCAGTTAGGCCAGACTAGCTGTAAACATTATCTGATTTCCTGAAGACAACGAACATCTCACAAGTTTTTTATTCAAACAGTAAGAGTTACAGACTACCCCTGCATTCCTACACAGCACTTCCTTTTCTAAGACAGATGGTAGAGCACAAAGTTAACCACAAGAGGAGAAACTGCTACATGCTGGCAGTTGTTTTTGACGGCATACTTAAAGGATTTTTACTCTTCCTTCTAGACTTTCATAGACGTGATTTCTTAACATGAGACAAATTTCTTAACATGAGATAAATTTCATGAGACAAACTTCAAATTACATAAAGGGCAAGAAACAAAAGCAACGGTAAAACGTATGCCAAGAGACCTTGAAAAAGTTAAACAGTTACCATACCACCCAGCATTCCTAAGTATATACGTACTAAAAAACTGAAAACACATTCACATAAAAACCTGTACATGAATAATCTTAGCAACATTATTCATAAGAGCTAAAAGTGAAAATAATCTGGTGTCTATCAATTAATGAATGGATAAATAAAATGTGGCTAGCCACCCAATGAATATCATTCAGCCATAAAAAGGAAAGATGTACTGATAGACACTACCACATATATGAACCTTGAAAACAATTATGCTAAGTCAGTCAGCCACAAGGGGCCACATAGTATATGATGCCATTTATATGAAATGTCCAGAATAAGCAAATCCAAGTAGAGAATGAAACTAGTTTACTGGTTGCCAGGGGTTGGAGACATGACAGCTAATGGGTAAGGGATTTCTTTTGGGGGTGATAATGGCTGCATATCTTTGTGAATATTCTAAAAACTGCTGACTTTTACATTTTAAGGCATAAAAAATTTTTTTTCCAACTCTTGCCAGAGGATATGTTCATTGATTTTAGAGAGCCAGGAAGGGAAGAGAAAAAAAAAATCAATGTGAGAGAGAAACATCAATCCAGTATGCCTCCAGTATGCACCCTGTCTGACCAGGAATTGAATGTGCAGCCTATGTGACCTGACTGGGGATCAAATCACAAACTTTCGGTGCACAGGATGATGTTCCAACCAAGTGTGCCAACCCGCCAGGGCTAAAGGCACAAATTATACAGTATGCAAGTTATCTCAAAAAAAATTTTTAATCATCCTTCCAAAATAAAATCAGCAAGAAAAGAAATATACAAATCCTTCCCCCATGAAAAATCTTTAACTAAAAAGCTATATATTTTATGTAGTTATTCTGAAAATGACTGGGACCGTAAAAATATCCTAGCTACCAAACAAAAGCAGTTGCTTATTTTGATAATATTTTTGTAACACAGACCTCCCTTAAAATGCAAGTTGACAGAGGGCTTATTCTACAAACCCAAACATACAATCCTCCAGAATTAGCTTTGAGGAGAAACGCCGTGGTAACTGGCAGAGGCACAAAACAGATTCCAGTTTACAAAAGAATTATAGTCTAGTCAGAAGGCAATGTCATCAAAAGGCACACTGTGATGGATGTTCTTAGTGTTTTCAGTCTCAATTCCGAGAGGATGGGCCTCAAAAACAAAACAAAACAAAGACCCGTACTAAACTACACTAAATTATCAGAAAGTATGTCCTGTATTTAAATTATTGGATATAAAAATCTTTTTAAAAGAAGATAAGTTTGGAAATTGAATACTAAACCTTTCAGGACGGGACCATACAAAAAATGTTTAATGCATTCACTATCACACCAGAAACTACTAAGTACTACTCCCAGGTGCTAAACTCAGTCATTTAGTGTCAATGCTCCTGCTTAACTGCTGATGCAGTTAAACAATGGTCCTGTTCATACATAAGGTTGATGTATGAACTGGTGGAAACATCAGTCATATAATGAGATGCTTTAATCTCTTTTTAAACTATGTCCTAGATTTAGAACCTCTATTTCAAAATAGCAAAAGGAATAATGCAGATGTTTTCAAATGGAAATCAAGATAAGGACATTGGAAGGCCTTAAAAAGCATTCACTAAATCAAGAAAACCACATCTAGGTTTTGCTCCTAAGCGATAAATGACGAGTAGCCCACCTAAAGGATTTTAAAATATATAAAACTAAAGCAGGCTAAGTATCCTTAATGATGAGACCAGCCAAAGGCACTGCTGTCAGCCCACTATTCTGCCAGTTGTACATTTTCAGATTCTATGCAGCGCAGAAGGTACCAGGATGACAACACAGATTAATATTGATGAAATCCCACTCACTCAAATGATTCCACTCACTCAAAAAGCACTTATTAGCCCTGGCTGGCGTAGCTCAGTGGATTGAGCGCGGGCCTGGGAACCAAAGAATAGCAGTTCGATTCCCAGTCAGGGCACATGCCTGGGTTGCAGGCCAGTTCTCAGCACTGGACACATGAGAAGCAACCACACATTGATATTTCTCTCCCTCTCTCCTTCCCTTCCCCTCTAAAGACAAAATAAAATCTTTTTTTAAAAAAGCACTTATTAAGCACCTATGTTTACAGTAGTTGGAGAATTATGTGTCCTATCACACACTGGGAGTGGGCTGTATCTTTTTGTGTATAAGTTCCAGGGTGTAGGGCAACCATGTGGTTTTCCTACATCGTTGATAACCATGTCCATGGGGAACAGATAACTGCTATCCCTTGAAAGTATATTTAGCTTCTTCTTTCAGTACTCTTTTTAAATCTGTTTTTCCATTTCCCTACACCTTTGCATTCCATCCCTCAAGTATATCATTATTCTTCTTCTGACCTGCCCACACAACTTCACCTTAAATTCTAAACTACCTAGAACGGGGCTAGGATAAATGGGTTTTTTTTTTAATGCATTCAAGATCACATGAGATATTAAGTACTATTCTCAAGCATTAATCCCATTCATTTTAGTGTTGACTCTACTGCTGCTTCTCGATCTCTCTCAGGCTCTCTCTAATCCTCCCCTTCCAATACCCAGTTTACCCCCACCTTTACCTGCCCAAAGTGTCCACCCCACGTTTTCGTCAGGCTCTCTAAAATCAGCCTCCATCCCCATAGCAGGGTTTCCCAAGAAAACCTCCCCCAGCTCTCCTTAATCTTCATTACTGTCTGTGACGTCCTCGGGTTTTGCTCCGGTCCCTCATTCTCCCCAACCTCGGACCGCCCCCCCCCATTCCACACCACCACCAAACACAATTTAGGGAACGCCCCCTAGATGCCCCCAACAGTCTCTTCCTCTCTCCCGCACCTCCCGCACCTTCCGCACCCGTTCCCAGAGCCTGCTTAGTCTCCCTGCACCTTCAGAGCCTCTTCCCTTCTCCCCTCAGTTTTCGGACACCACCACCCCTCGGAGCCTTCCTGGCCCTCGCCCACCCGCGGGGCAGGCTCCCCGGGGCCGGCTCCCCGGGGCCGGCTCCCCGGGGCCCACAGCGCCCCTCCGGGCGCGGCCGTCCGACCTGCCTCTGCGCCTCCCGCAGCCCCTGTAGCCTCTGGCCCAGCTCCTGCCGGTAGCTCTGCGCTGCCTCCACGTTCTCGCGGGCCTCCTGCAGCAGCAGCTCTGGATTCAGCTCCATCGCCACCTCGGCCGCCGGGTCCGGGCGCGGTTCCCTACTGTCCCGGGCGCCGCAGAGCGGCCCGGCGTGGCCCAGCGCAGGCGGAAGCGCCGCCCAGCCCCGCCCAGGGCGGCCTTGATTGACAGCCGCGCGCGGGCTCTCCTCTCGCTGGCGTCTGGATCCCAGAACCCCCGGCTCACTGGCCGGTAGCTGCGCCTCCCGTTTCGCGTGCAGCGCCTGGTCCGCGGCGTCTCGTCAGGACAAGCAAGGGGCAGGGAAAGGTTAGTAACAACTAACACCACCTTAATGGGAAGATAAGAAGTGCTTCCCACATTTTATCTCATTCTGGCCTCCCGGTATCTCGGTTTTTCAGAGGAGGACGCTAAGGGACAGAGTGGGCAATCAACGTCAAGCAGTGGGGATTTCAAACCAGGTGGCTCTTAAATCGTCATTGTCCCACCTCTCTACTCAGTGCGAATCCCAGCAGCGGCTGGTATTATTGAGGTTCCTCTGAACCAGGTACCACGCCCAGGTCACCCAGAAGCTCATAGTCTAATGAGGGAGCCAAGACTGCCCTTAAACTTGGACCAGCGGTAGGTACACCAGTCCAGGCACAAGGCCCAAACATATGTTAGCAGACTTTGCCTGCAAGGGCCAGGTAGGGACGTGAGTTCTCTGTTGCAACATCCTAAATAAATGGGCGTGACGATGTGCAAATAAAACTATGGACACAAATTTGAATTTCACATAATTTTCACGTGTCACAAAATATTCTTGCAAATTTTGTCAACTGTTTAGAAAAAGTAAAAATCATTCTAAATTCAGGGACCATACAATACCAGGAGCCCTGACCGGTGTCGCTCAGTACATTGGGCGTCCTCCCAGAAAGCCTAAGGTCGCCGGTTTGATTCCTGGTCAGGGCACATACCTGGGCTGTGGGTCCAATCCTTGGTTGGTCCGGGAGCGTAGGAGAGGCAACCGATTGATGTTTCTCTCTCACAACCATGTTTCTCTCCCTCTCTTTCTCCCTCCCTTCCCTGCTCTCTAAAAATAAATAAAATATTTAAAAAACAAAAAAACGGGGTATGTCAGATTTGGCTCTGGGCCATAGCTTGCTGACCTCTGGCCAAGGATGTTAAAGCGGAAAGTTGCCTCAGCCATGGAACAGAGACAGAACATGATTTAATCAAGATTACGCAAAGAATCTGTACTAGAGGCTACATCCCAGTTTTCCTGGACCAAACTAAAGTTCTTTCTACCGCATTGTTTTGTAAGTAAGTGACACTTAGAACTAGAAAAATTGAGAAAAGAGAAGCCCTTCTAGAGAAAATGGAAAATTAGCTTTATCCTGAAGATGCGGTAGTCAGGCACTTTGTAAATATTTACTGTGTTAGCCAATGAATCCCCTTTATTGTTTAAGGAGGCTTGAGTTGAGTTTTCTGTAACTCACAACTTGATGGTGTCCTAAGAGATATAAAATAAAAGAGGGGCACAGACAGAAACTCATGGTGTAAGTGACCTATGTAAAAGATATAAATGTATATACTAAAGATACTTATGAACATCCTGAATGAAGAAAAAGGCCATTGAAGTAGACTCAGGAAAGACTGACAAAAACAAAATATATTAACTTTTATATATTTTTGGCCTTGCCCTTCCTTTATACCCCTCACCTGCAGGTTGTCTTCAACCTGGCTCCCAAAATTCTATGGTACAGAACTGAGAGAAATGACCGAAGTGGCACATGGGAAAGTGGAAGCTGGGTATCTAGAGATTCGTACTGAATGAGAAATGGAGGGAGAAACTTCAGAGCACTAATGGGGAATAAGAAAAGGGGAGTGGAGATGAGAATATTACAGTTTCTATGATTTTTGAATTGAAGACTCTCAGGAGATATGCCAATACAGTGCAATTATGGACTGGATCCGTTTGCTCATAAAAGGGTATCATTGAACAATTGATTAAACTTGAATAGGTTCTGAGGATTCACTGATAAAGAATCAATGTTAAATCCTGTTTTTGATTGTTACATTGTAGATTCATAGAATGTACTCATACAATGTGGGCAATTTACTCGAATGATTTATTCGGGGGAAAAATTGCACTGTAGTTGCAATATATCTATAAGTGAGATTTCCATAACTGAGTTTTGAAAATTTAAACTTATAAAGGATTAATATAAAAATTTTAAGAGACTTATCAAGATTAGGACAATCTTTTAATTATTTTTGATTGCTGGACAGTATTTCTTTGTATGAGTTGCTATTCAAAAACTAGATCCTATGACTTATTTAATTGTAGCCAGATGATATTCAAGAATGTGGTAAAAGTGTGCAAAAAGGGGAGTCAGAGAGTAAAAAAGCTATCAGTATATGCCCAATACAGTTAGGAGCTTTCTGAGAAGAAGTCGGAGAGAAGAGAGAGAAACCCATTGCTGAACAGATGACCATAGTATTCTGGACTAAATCCATGTTTACCAAATAAGTCTCTGATTACAACTTGATATTCCAGCTACTGCAATTTTCTCCGTAATTATATCTGATCGTGAATAAATAAATTAGCAAGTTGCTTTGTTTCTTATCTTATTAGAAATCTGTGCCCCTGAATCAGCTCACCTCTGGTTACAATTGAAATCAATTTGAAACCTATGTGATGCCACAGAGATTAAACAACAAAACAAAAGAAGAAAAAACAACTCTGTAAAGCTGTCGGATGGCCTGCTGGCTTCTATCACTGCCACCTCCAGACCAATCTTGCGTTGTGTTCAGTCTTCCTCTGTGTTATCAGCCAGAGTATTTACTCTTTAGGAATTTGAGGTCTAAAGTTAAAAAGAATGTTTTCAAAATGTCAAGCCTGGAGGAGTGATTCCACAAGATTTCCTTCACTTTCCTTTGTATTATTTTTTTGTATAGGGCGGATATATTAGATGCATTTTTTTTCTTGCCTCTCGTCAGTTTGTAGAAAAGCCCTCTAGGGTAGGATCAATTCTATTAGTGTTAGCACACAGAACATACTGTGTTCGAGAATATTTAATACATTCTGTTTTTTACTGACTCAATTTGTGCCTAAATTCTCCCATCCCCTTGAACTATTTGCTTATTGTCTCCCCTGCTTTCTCCAGTAAACCTCTGTAAAGGCCAACACCCGAGTTCAAACCTCTAACAGGGGTGCCCAACTTTTTGGTGTCTCTGGGCCACACTGAGAGAAGAGTTGTCTTGGACCACACATTAAATACACAAACACTAACAGCATGTGGACCGCGGGCAGTGGGCTGGACACCCCTGCATCATATTATACCTGGATTAATGCCATATGTTTTTTTCTTCTTTACCCCCTCCATCTATCCTGTGTATATTCATTTCACCGAATGAATATTTGAGAATGTACTGTATGCCAACCCATACTTTATCTTCAGACAGACCCAAGTCCTACATCTCTAACATTTTTCTCCCGAAAACATTGCTTTGCAAATGTCACTGCCCTTGCAAAAACCTTTGATGCCTTTTCATTAAAGCCAAAGCCCCTTAGCCTGAACTCCTTGGCCCTTACTCTTCTCTTCATCTTCCTTCTTTTTTTTATTCTTAAAAATAACTTTATTATTTTTAAGATTTTATTTATTGACTTTAGAGAGAGAGGGTATGAGAATGAAAGAAACATTGATTTGTTGTTCCACTTATTTATACATTCATTGGTTGCTTCTAGTCTGTGCCCTGACCTGGTACCAAAGGACCATAGTGTGTTGGGACTAAGCTTCCGAGATAAGGCCTAAAAATAACTTTATTTATTTATTTTTATTTTTTAATTACAGCTGGCATACAATATTATATTAGTTTTAAGTGTAAAATATAGTGATTTGACATTTATAGAATTCACCCAGAGAAATCTATTACCCATCTGACATCACACATTGTTATTACCATAATATTGACTATATGCCCTATGCTATACTTTATATCCTCACGCTCCTTTCTTTCTTAAACAGCCCACTGATATTCCTATCTCCAAGACTTTATACCCTTTGCCACTTAGTTTTGTCCTACCTAGGATGCCTTTACTCACTCTTTTGTTTAGTTCTTAATACCTTGATACTTGGTGACTACAATAGTCCCTCCTTATCCAAAGGGAATACATTCCAAGAATCCCAGTGAATGCCTAAAATCATGGGTAATCCTGAACCCTATACAAGGTGGGGCTGAAGTAGGTTTACAGTTGTGAGTATGCAAAACACAGTTTATTTATTCTTTTAATATTATTTATTGATCATTGTATTAATTTTCATATAAACAACTGTAAACCTACTTTTGCCCCACCCTGTATATACTATGCTTGTTTTCCTATATGTAGATACTTTTTTGCTTAAAGGAAACACTTCTCTTTGGCATATCCAAGTTGCCAGCATCATTACCCTTGTGTTTTGGGGCCGTCGTTAAGCAAAATAAGGATTACTTGAACATAAACACTGCCACAGTCAATCTGATAGCCAAGATGGTTACTAAGTAACTAACTGGTGGGCTTCCTATGCAGCATAAATACCCTGGACAAAGAGATGGTTCACATCCCAGCTGGGAGGGAGTAGGTGAATTCAGAAAGACAGAAGTTTTCTTCACACTACTCAGAACTCTATGCAATTTAAAGTGTATGAATTATTTATTTCTGGGATTTTCCACCTGTGGTTCATCGCTGGTAGCTGAAACCCCAGAGCATGAAACCATGGATTGGGGTGAGGGCACTACTACTGTAAACTCTAAGAGGATAGGAACTTTTGTCTGTTTTGTTTACAGCTGCTTTGTTCATAGCTGACACATAGCAGCCACTCAATAGTATTAATGGAATGGATGGATGGATAGATGGAGATAGCACAACACAAAACAGTGAGGTATGGGGCTGAAATAAGATGAAGATCAGAGTTAGATATTCCACATCCACTGCCTTATTCCATGCATTTAGGTGACCCCTCCCCATTGCTTCCACCGAACTGCATGAAATATAAGCACCCCTGCTCCAAAGAGATTGGAGGAGAAACCCAATGGAAATGCCAGCTCATCTATTGATCAGACTATAGTAGGGCCTACTGATGAATCCTATCCATGCTAAAAACTTTCAAATAGCTTTAACAATTTTTAAAACAGCTTCATGGATATAACTGATTTGTAATAAAATGCATATATTTAATATATACAATTTGATGAACATTTTCATGAGTAGATACCTATGGAACCATCATCACAACCAAGATAATAAACATTTCCATCACTCCCCAAAGTTTCGATGTGATCCATTCCTTTGGAGTTCATTCTTCCTTCAACCCCTAAACCCTAGGCAATGGCTAATCTGCTTTGTGTCATTAGGGATTAATTTGCATTTTCTCAAATTTTATGTAAATTGAGTCATACAGAATTTACTCTTCATCTGGTTTCTTTTACTCAGCATAAGGGTTTGGAGATTCATCCATGTTGTTTTACATATTAATAGTTCTTTTCTTTTTAGTGTTGAGTAGTGGTCCATGGTATGGATGTATCACAATGTGTTTATTCATTTACTTGTTGATGGGTCATTCCCAGTTTTTTACTATTACAAATAAAAGCTGTTATGAACATTTGCATGTAAGTGTACAAATCTATAATTATATTGGGAAGGAGAGAAAGTATATAGGGTGGTGTTATGAGAGACTTAAATCCTTAACCACTGTAACAGATCATTATTACTTTCTTTACTTGCTAAATCAAGAAATAGAGGAATCGATGTGTAGGCAAGGGGCTGTTGGTAGCAGCAGTCCTGGTAGAAGATATGAATTTGCACCCTCCTACCCCAGACTGCAGGGAACAGGCTTTCTGGGTTTCTGGAGGCACAGGAGGAAGAAAAATTCAACCAGACAACTTGTGAGAGCTCCACAGAGGAATTGGGAGATGATGAGTATCAGGGGGACCAGTCAGACACAGAGGATGAGGTGGGGTCTGGCCTTGAGATCGACCAAGAGGATGAACCATCCAGGGATAGAGAAGCAGAAGAGCCAAGAAGGAAGCACTAAGTAGTCACCAAAGCCCATAAGCAGTCTCTCAAGAGCTTGAGGCTGGGAAAGGTCAGCATCCAACTGGTAGCTCTCGGGAGACCTGAGAAGAGAAGGCACTGTTACCATTAGAAGACAGGATGATGGCTCTGACAGTCAGAATTTCATGCATTAGTCTACAGGTGAACACACACAACAAACGTTCCTGCAGGTACAGGAGCGGCAGGGCCAGTCAAGTGGCAAAAAAGGCCCTACTCTGAGAGGCCACCCACCCAGGGGTTTCTGCTCAGGGAGGCCAAGATCACAGAGGAGCTCAACTTACTTTCACTGAAGACATAGAAGTGACTTCAGGCTGACAAAAAGAAGCAGGTTCACGAGAAGCAGAAGTGTCCTGAGCCCATAATTACCTTTATTCAGTGACGGAATGGGAGCCAGACCCTGAAGAAGAGATATTGATGTGGAACAACTTGATCCTGCTCCCATGGCTTCCGCATTGACTCCTGTAGGGGGACAGGACCTGTCTCCTCCTGCTCCCTGCTCACGTATCTTCACTTTTACTGATGATGAGACATTTGAGGCATGGTTTCCCCAAGAGCAGCCCCCAAAGTCCCTGTTTGGGGACTTTGCCCCGTGATCCATTGCCCGGCCCTATACCGAGATCCTGTTACAGACATACCTACTGTAGCACTGTGTCAGCCTTCAGGATCATCTGTGAGGCCCAAAAGAAGCACATGACTGCCCACAGACTGCCACCCACTGCCTCAGCCCTGGGCCCCTGCGCACCACCTCCTTTCTTAGCCCTTCCCTAGCTCAGGGTCTCAGGCCTTGCACCAGAAGATCATCAAGTGCAGAGACTCTAGTCCTGAGAAACCTCTTTCTTGCCTGACTTGGGTTCTCAATGTCTCCCCTTCCCCCAAACTCCACCCTCCCCCACTCTCTGTTTCTCCCTTTGTCATCTCTAATCTTTGTCCAGACTTTTTTTTTTTTCTATGTTTCTTTCACCAGCTCTCCCCTTAGTTCTTACTGGGTTTATTTGTGTTTTTTTAATCTAATAAAATTGAAAGGTTTCCCTCCCCCAAAATAAATAGCTCTAGAAGTATATTATGGTAATATTTAAAAATCAGGCCCTGGCTGGTGTGGCTCAGTGGATTGAGTGCCAGCCTGTGAATCATAGGGTCACTGGTTCGATTCCCAGACAGGGCACACAGGTCAGGTCCCCAGTAGGGGGCATGTGAGAAGCAAGCACACATTGATGTTTCCCTCCTTCTCTTTCTCCCTCCCTTCCCCTCTATAAATAAATAAATAAATAAATAAATAAATAAATAAATAAAATCTTTAAAAAATAAATTGGGCCCTGGCTAGGTGGTTCAGTGGGTTGGAGCATCCCAAAATGTTGCATACACCAAAAGGTTGTGGGTTGGGTTGGATTCCTGGTCAGGGCACGTGCCTAGGTAGCAGGTTTGACCACAATTGGGATGGGTAGGGGAGGCAACTGATGGATGTTTCTCTCTTACATGGAAGTTTCTCCCTTTCTCTCTCTAAAGTCAATAAACATATCTTCCACTGAGGATTAAAAAATAAAAATCAGGAGGTATTTACAGTCCTAGAAGAGTTCTGAAAGTAGCTGCTTTGGGAAATAGAACTGGGATATGAAATAGATATCAGCTGTGTTTTGATATTAAGTTTCATAATTTTCTGACATTTTTGACCAAATATAGGCATTACTTTGATAAATATAAAAGTTAATAATTTTAAAAAGTAAGGGTTAGCTAGATGAGACAGATAATAAAGAACACAGGCTGTAAATGCTACATTGCTATACAAATGTGAGAGCTCATTTAATTTAAAATTGATAAATGCCATGAGCTCCTAAGTAAGGGATGCATGAAATATTAGCATATCTAAGAATCAACTCAGTACAAATGATTAGTATTGCAATGTAGTTTAAATGCTTAGTGATTTAGAAAAATAAAAAGTGCTGGAGACATACCCCATAACCCAGCAACCCCACTTCTAGGTGTCCAACCCAGACTTAAATCCTTAACCACTGTAATAGATCATTATTACTTTCTTTACTTGCTAAAGAAAGAACTTCCATGTGTTCAAGTAGACAAGAATGCTCATTAATTCACTGAACAACAGAAAATTAGAGACAATCTAAATGTTCATCACTAAGGAAATTAATAAATAAAATATTGTGCATAATTGGATGGAATGTTCAGAAATGAAAGGGAACTAATCAGATCTACATACGAAATGAATGATGAGTGAAAAAAAGCAAATTGCTGAGTGACATTTACAGTATTGTTTTTTATGTCAATAAAAACAAAACCAAAGTTTTTTATGCATGCAAATATATGCAAATTGCTGAGTGACATTTACAGTATTGTTTTTTATGTCAATAAAAACAAAACCAAAGTTTTTTATGCATGCAAATATATATATGCATGTAAAAGTATAAAAAGGGCTACAATACTATCCACCAAAGAGATAATATTGGTCATTACCACTGGGGCAAAGAGGAAAAAACTGAGTTTGGCTGTGAATGTCAAGGATGCTTTCAGCTTTCTTTGTAAATTTTTCATTTATTTCTTCTCCTTCTACTCTTCCTTACACCTTCTTCCTTCTTCTCCTTACACTTCCCCCTCTTGTTCTCCTCTTGTTCATCATTCTCCTTGGGCAGTGTTTTTACACTATGTGAGTTATGAAAAAAAAAAGAAAATATGCAAAAACAATAGTAAATACTTAATGCAGTCTCCCTTCCTGAAAAAATATATTCAGGCCTAATACTTTTCAAAGAAAAAGTAATTACCGGAATTTCAATGGAGAGATGTGTACCCTTTGTGTTGTCAAGATAATATTAATTACCATCAAGATACCTGGCTGGTGTAGCTCAGTGGATTGAGCGCGGGCCTGCGAACCACACGATGGCCGTTAGATTCCCAGTCAGGGTACATGCCTGGGTTGCAGGCCAGTTCCCTGCAGGCCAGTTCCCAGCAGGGGACACACAAAAGGCAACCATACATTGATGTTTCTCTCCCACTCTCCTTCCCCCCTTCCCCTCTAAAGATAAATAAGTAAAATCTTAAAAAAAAAAACCATCAAGATGAACAAAATTATCAATATCAGTTTGCATTAACCGACCTAACAACGTGGCTTCTTGTTATTATTTGATATGTCCTTTTGCCTGTCTTGTTTCAGTCCTTACATACTGTGCAGTTAAAACTCTGCAGACAAAATAAACATACTCCATATTTATGTAACCGCAAATCTAATGTTAAAAAAAAAGATAAAGGCTTTGAATATCCATGAAAACAATGCAAGTGAAGTATGGGATTACCATCACTACGAGCCAGTGAACTACTGGTACTCTGCGACAAGAAAACAGGCAAAAACAGCTGAGTCGCTGTTGCTCGCGAGGTCGAAATCCACAGGAAGAAATGCCTAAAAAGTGTAAATGCCGACACCCAATGGGCGTATTTCAAAGTAGGACTCGCCAAAATAACATTTTATTCCGTATGAGAGAAATTATAATCAACTCTTATTTCGTTTCGTATTGTTCAAACTTCTATTTTTAAATAGAGGCCAGCCTGGGGCGTCAAAAGTCTAGGGTTTTAATTCTGACACTAACGGGCGTTAATCAAATTAGGTCCTCATCCGTGACTTAGGCGTGAGAATTTCGAATCTCCAAAGTCCCCGCCAGTTTTAAATTCTACGCTACGAGAACTTCGCCTCCTGTTGGTTCGCCAAAGATGTAGTTTGGCCCTCTAGTCTCACCGTCCGCGCAGTCTCCAGGAACAATCCTAAGCTCCGCCCCCTCCGCTCCGGAGGGCGCGAAAACCCAATTGACAAGAAGTCCCTCCGAAGCCAGCCGGTCCGATTTGCGTTCGGCTTGCTGTTCCCGTGGGGGTCCCAGTCCCGAACGTCAAGCCTGAAGTGCCTGGCCCTGGGAAACCTCGCGGCTTACTGGCCGCGACCTGGGGTCCCGGTTGCCCGCCTTTTTTCACCGTCTCTTCCCGCGTTCGACTTGGCTGAGCCGGGCCCAGCACCGCGACCGTTCTGGGCGGGTGGGCGGCGGGGAGTCCGAGACGGGCTCTGCATTCCAGCTCCTAGTTCCTACGGGAGCCAGCAGCCTCCATGGCCTCCAGGCATGCCAGGCTGGGCCGTACAAGGTCCTAGGAGCCGGGATTCCGGGAAGCAGGGAGCATGGTGGGGGTCCTGGCCATGGCGGCGGCGGCGGCAGCTGCTCCCACTGCGGCGAAGGACTACGAGATTGAGGTGAGCTTGAGCATCTCCCTCCCCCTGTTCGGGGTGGGTTAAAAATGATCACGACTTTGGATCCTTGAGAAGAAAGGAGGGACATAGTGAGTCAGCCCCACAGTTGTGACATTGTGTGGAACAATAGCCGGAATGTGTCATTTCTTCAAGCCATGGTAGTACCTGACGAACACTGGTATTGTGAGATGTTTGCCGGACCGGGTAAGTTAGGATTTAAGATGAACTCGACCAGTTCCTAGAACCTGAAATGTTGGCGGAATTTGATGTTTTGGACTTGGGAAATGTCATGGAGCATCCCAGGGTTAAGTCTCGGTTTGTGATAGAGTATTATAGAAGAACTTCAGCGTAGAAAAGAATTAAGTTCAACTAGTCCATCCATTTATCTGTTCTAGGAATGCCACGGAGAATGTCACTACAGGAATTAAACAAGGTACTTAAAAAATTCGTGGCTGTAGGGCCTGATATAGAGCAGTCAGGAGTCCTCGCATGGCCTACGGTTATTCTCTTGTGTAGTATCAGTGAAATGCACTAAATTTCAGTGAAATACACTAAGCTGTCCTTGAAAAGAGATTCTAATGCTTTGAAATAGAGGAGTAGCATCGTACACTAGACTGTCGTTATATTTCTTAGCTTTTTCTTTCTTTTTTTATTTAATGCACAATTACTATACAAAAGGAAGCACAATTATTCACAATCCAAGAGGTTTAATCCACTAACAAAAATATTCAGCATTGGTTTCTTCTAAGTACAGTGGTAATGTTTTTCAATAATTAAAATTAATTATGTTTTAGTATTAGCACACAAGTTCTTAGATTTTCACAATTTTAAATGTACAGTGAGTATTCTTTTTCTAGAGCATAGGGGAGTTATAAAGTGGTATGAGCCATTGACTTTGCTAGATCATCTTAACAATAACCCACAACCTTCAGACCATTAGATCAAAGACATGAAACATTGTAAATGATTAGTAAGTTGCCTGGGTAGCTCATTAAAAAATTAATTAGTAAATTACTACATAAATACATTTAGGATATATATTTCAAATGGGACACAATTTTTATGAAATATTATTTAGTAACAGTACAGTGGTGGACAGTGTAATGGGAAAAGATTAATAATTATATTCATTTCTTTCTTTAAAAAACACTGATTTTAAAGAGGGAGGGGTGGGGGAGAGAGAGAGAAACATCAGTTTGTTATTTCACCCATTCATGCATTCATTGGTTGCTTCTTGTATGTGCCCTGTCTGTAGATCCAACCTACAGCCTTGGTTTTTCCGATGGACGCTAAGCCACCCTGCCAGGGCATTTTTAAACCTTTTCATCTCAAACTAGCATTGTAAATGAAACATGCATACCAGTGTCCTTGAAGTGAGCCAAGATGTATGTTCATTTATTTAACTGGAGCTCTTTCTTTTTAAAAAAATTTAAAAATAAATCCCTCAGCCGAGGATATATGTTTTATTGATTTTAGAGAGAGAGGAAGGGAGAAAGAGAGAGAGAAAGACATCGATGTGAGAAATGAGAAACACCAATCGGTTGCCTCCCATACACGCCCCAGACCGGGTATCCAACCCGCAACCTAGGTAGGTGCCCTGACTGAGAATCCAGCCTGCATCTTTTTGATGTCTGGGCCAAAGCTTCAACAGGTTGATCCACCTGGCAAGGGCATAACTGGGGCTCTTTCCTATTTTTAATTTTTATTTTGTAAGTTTTATTTTTCAGTTATAGTTTACATTTAATTATTTTGTATTAGTTTCAAGTGTACAGCATAGTGGTTAGACAATGGTATACTTTACGAAGTTATAACCCGAAGTTACAACCCTACCATGTAATAACCCTGATATTTCCATACCCACCTGGTACTATACATAGTTATTATACTGTTATTGACTCTATTCCCTGTGCTGTACTTTATTATTTTTTAGAATCAAGTAACTTTTGTCTAGTCAGTGACTGTTGTTATGCTCATAATTATTAAATCTAGGCAATTGCTCTCAGCTTGTGTCAGGTGTGAAGAAGGACTTTTTACATAGTTTTTTATTTTTGTGTGGTCAGTTTGATCAATCTTTTTTTTACTATTTTATTTATTTATTTTTATACAGAAGGGAAGGGAGAGAGAAAGAGAGGGAGAGAAACATCAATGTGTGGTTGCCTCTCACGCATCCCTTACTGGGAACCTGGCCTGCAACCCAGGCATGTGCCCTGACTGGGAATTGAACCTACAACGTTTTGGTTCACAGGCCTGTGGTCAATCCACCGAGCTACACCACCCAGGGCTAGTCAATCTTTTTATTACAGCTTGTGCTTTTGGCACCCCGCTTCTATTTTACAATAATGATACTGTTTAGTATTTTAAGGGTAAGGGCCTTATACACATTATTTTACTTAATATCAACCCTGTGATGAGGCACTAATAAACAATATTATACAAATGGGAGAAGGTTAAAAATTAATTAAAAGTAATTTAAGTTAATTAGAAAATTAAAAATACTTTGCTTAAAGGTCCTGCACTAGTAGATGTCAGAGCCAGCACTTGAACTTAGATCTGCCTGATTCTGGAGTCAGATATTGTGCTGCTGATACCACCTCCGGGTAATAATAGTATAATCCATTAGCATTTTCTCCTAATACACTTATCATTTAATCTTCACATAAAATTTTAATTTGTGTATAATTTATTTCATCTCATGTTTTGTTTAAATGGTAAGAAATTTGTCCCAATACCATTTACTACTTTTTTGCCCACTAACCTGAATGCTACTGTTATTATATACCAAGTTCTTAAATATACACTTAAGTCTTTTTCTGGTTTTCTAATTCATTTCATTAAGTGGTTTGCCTTTGTACATTGGTACTATACATTTAATCATGATAGCTTTGTAATGTGTTTTAATTTAGTAGGCATTTAATGTCCTCAGTCATTATTTATCTTTTAAATAATTTCCCAGTTATTCTGGTTATTCTAACAAATGAACTGAGGGAAGTTAACATCAAGGAAAAGACTAATAGAGCTTTTTGTAACCAATAAGCTTTTTCTATTATGTAAGTTACTAATATATGACCAACAAAAATATAACTTTTTAGCATTACAGTCATCTCGACATTATGAGGCAAGCAGTAACTGTTTTAATAGCAAGTTAAGGCACTGGAAAGTTTTATTCATGGTTTATGTCCTTCATAATTTTTACTTGATTAGTAAATTTTGGGATCTTAGATTTGTTCACTGTGTACCTGTTTCCTAGAAGTAGCAATTTTGTTTATTTTTAACTAAAAAAGTAAAAATGGAACAGAATTAATATTTGCAGAGTTCCTACCATGTATCAAACTTCACATATTTTTATGTAGCATGTTCATTACAAATTCTGTGATATGGGTGATACTGTTCACACATTATAGAATAAACAGAGGTCAACAGAAATTAACACATTTGTACCTAAACATAGTGGCCTTGAAACTTTAAAAAAATATATTTGTTTATTTATTTTTAGAGAGAAGGGAGGTGAGGAAGAAGAGGGAGAGGAACACCTGTGTATGAGAGAAACATTGGCAGGCTGCCTCTAGCATATGCCCCAACCAGGACCAAATCCACAACCTAGGCATGTGCCCTGGCCGGGAATTGAACCTGTGACCTTCTGCTTTGCAGACTGATGCCCAACCAACTGAGCCGCACCAGTCAGGGCAAAACTTTTTATTGAAATTTTATTGTATATACATATATATATAGTAAAGGTATTATTCGATGTGATGTTCTGATTTGAATTAGGTTTAGAAGCTCTTTTTCTTTCTGATCATGTTTGTCACCTTAGGGAGCCTTCCTCTTTTATCTAATTATGTAAAATACTAGATCCATATTTAAAATGTATGTTTGGTATTATTTTGCTTGAAACAACCCTTTTTTTTTTTAATTGATAGGCATGTAAAAAGCGAAGGAAAGATGATGACAGATCTTCCTGTGAAACAATTACAAGATATTTATCACCAATAGGGAAGACTGAAGACAGGGTTTTCTCTCAGCCAAAATCCAGTAATATTCTGGATTATTTTAGAAAGACTTTACCCGCAAATGAGAAGACTCAATCAGCAAAAGAGTACAAAATAAAGTCGTCTCCACCATTGCCTGCTGATGTTGGCAAGGACTGTAAAATACCTTTGGACATGTTCTCAAATACAGAGTTTAAGAACAGAAGAAAAAGAGTTAATCTATCTCATCAACTAAATAACGTTAAAACTGAAAATGAATCTCCAATTGAAATTAGTAGTGATGATAGCAAAGAGGACTCTAGTTTAAATCATGATTTTGTGGAGAGTAGTACTTCTGTTTCACTCTATAAGAAACATGTAGAAACACATGCAGAAAGTATTCAAGATATCAAAAACCAGTTAAGCATTATGACCTCCAAAAAAAGTTCTAAGAAAGTAAATCCTAAACAAGGGACCAGAGAGAATGGTTGTAAAAAATTGAGGAAAAGGAAGCTCCAAGAGGTAATAGACCTATCTGGAAGTTTATCCTTGGCAGAAGAACTTAATCTCCTTGAAGATAATAAAGATAATAAACAAATAATGCCTTCCCTAATTAATGAAATTGAGAGTACTGCAAATAATATAACTGAAACAACCCAGTTAACTGGTAGTACAATAACTGTCTCGTATGAGGAATTTTTAAAAAGTCACAAGGAAAATAAAGTGGGACAGATACCAGATTCTACAATGTCAATTTGTATTCCTTGCAAAACTGTTGATGATAGAGTCAAAAGTGGTTGTATAAGTGATACAGAAATCTGTGAAGTCTCCCAACAAGTACGCTTTAAGACAGTTACTGTTCTTGCACAGGTTCACCCTATTCCCCCCAAAAAGATAGGGAAAATACCCTCAATTTTCTTGAAACAAAAGCAGTTGGAGATGGAAAATAGTTTGTCTGATCCTGAGAATGAACAGACAGTTCAGAAAAGAAAATCTAATGTCGTAATACAGGAAGAAGAACTAGAATTGGCAGTATTGGAAGCTGGAAGTTCCGAAGCTGTGAAATCAAAATGTACTCTAGAAGAAAGACAACAATTTATGAAAGCATTTAGGCAGCCAGCATCAGATGCACTTAAAAATGGACCCAGAAAGTCTTCTGATAAGCAGAAAGAGCTCAATGAAAAATCTTCAAACGAGGAAGAAAGAGACAGTTATTCCAAAAAAATCATGGAAAATCCCAATATCCAAATGGTTTCAAATAATGGCAATCCACAGTCACACACTAATAAAGGAAGTTTTCCTAAGAGATGTAAAAAGCTGAAGAAAAAAAATAAAGTGTTAGATACTGGTACTACTCTAGGTGAAAATAGAGAGGGAAATACTCGAAAGAAAGAAACAACTTTTAAAGGTAAACAAAATAAAAACAGGCTTAGAATGAGTTTAAGACAAAAGAAAAGAGAAGTTTTTAAAAACAGCCCTTTATTTAATAGTGAAAGTTTTATGTGTGAAGATACAACAAATGATGACCCTCTAAAGATTTTTTCTCTCCGTAACAATAAGTCTTCAAGAAAAACTAGCACACCAGTTAAGGATAAGGTTATACATTCTACAGCTGAAACTGAGGACTCCTTGGTAAATGTTTCTACACCCAGGTCAACCAGAAGATCTGCAAGTGGTAGCAGGACACCTACTACAATAACCATCAGAGATACAGATTCTGGAAATGCACAAGATAGTCCAGTAAAAGCTTCCACTCCAAAAGCAGCCAACTTCACAGAAAGGCATAGCTTGTATACAGCAGAATTAATAACAGTATCCTCTGATTCAGAGAGTCCTATTAGGTAAGGTAAAAGTTTTGTTTTTGTTCTAAAGTTTTAAGTATTCTACATATGCTTTTAACTAGGAATGAAAATACTTTACGCAGTAGAGTATTATTTTTTCCAGAACATAACTGCTTTATATGGGAAAAAAACAGGGATTTGGAAATGTTGATTTTCCATATTTAATAAAGTCAGTCATGATTTCAGAAGAATTCTAGTACATTTTAGGTGAGTTCTAAACTCATAACAGTTGCTGGGTGAAGTATTCTTGAAATACGAATTCTGTGCATTTAACAAATGAGATTAAAAATAAATCACAGAATTTTATTTCTTGGGTAAACTGGGCCATGCACTGTGAGATCTATATTTGCATACCGATTCTGGCTATTATAAGAGTGATCTTAGGGGCTGATTTTCTGTAAGGACTTACGATTTCTAAAATAAGTAATTTATATTACAAGTTTAATCTTTTATTTTGCTTTTTTTTTTTTTAAGATTTTATTTATTTATCTTTAGAGGGGAAGGGAAGGAGAGAGGGAGAGAAACATCGATGTATGGTTGCCTTTTGTGCGTCCCCTGCTGGGAACTGGCCTGCAGGCAACCAGCCTGCAACCCAGGCATGTGCCCTGACTGGGAATCGAACTGCGATCCTTTGATTCGCAGGCCAGTGCTCAATCCACTGAGCTACACCAGCCAGGGCTATTTTGCTTACTTTTGAATTAGTAATTTGAAACTAATGGGGTGTTTTTGATTTCTCTTCTGTTTTAGAACTGTCCAGAAATTGAAGTTGTAATTAGTTCTTTTCTGCATTTGGTTGAAATTGTTACACATTATAGTCATGAAACTATTTCTGAATATCTTTTTTCCCCCAGAATGAAATTTACCAGAATTAGTACTCCCAAAAAATCTAAGAAGAAATCTAAGGCAAGAGCCAAGAAATCTGAAGCTATTGACGGAGATTTTACCTCTCAAACTAAAAAGGTACTTTTTAAATATTAAGGAGCCTGTAAGTGATACTCTTTTTTTAAAAATAACAACTACCACTTCTTTTGGAAGTAGTACACTACAAGAAGATTCACATATTTCATAGATTGGTTATATGTTAACTACAACTCTATATTATTTTTTGCTATTATTCTATTTCTTTAGTTAATTTATTAAGACATCAAGATATCATTGTGAGCCCTAACTAGTGTGGCTGAGCATGTTGGGCATTTTCCCGCAAACCAAACGAAAGGTTGCTGGTCTGATTCCCTGTCAGGGCCCATGCCTGGGTTGTGGACCAGGTCTTGAGCTGGGGGCATGGGAGAGGCAAGAGATTGATGTTTCTCTCCCTCTCTATCTCCTTCCCTCCCCCTCCAAAAATGAATAAAATCTTTAAAAAAGAGATATCTTATTGTGAGGTGAAAGCAATTGTTAAGGACAGTCTAATTTACTTTTCATTAGTTTTGTTGGTGAGAGTTACATTCCAGTTACTTTCCCTAAGGCTACTTTTAGGTCATGATTGAATGTTTGGTTAATTTCTGTAAATTAAAGGCTAAAAAGCAGGGTCTCTCAAGCATGGTACTATTGACATTTTGGACTGGCTAATTCTTTGTTGAGGAGGATAATCCTGTGCATTACAGGAGGTTTAGCAGTAACCCTGGTCTTTACCCATAAGATGCCAGTAGCATCCCAGCTTTCCTATTTATGACTCAAAAATATCTCCAGATGTTGCCAAATATTCCCTGGAAGGGAAGAAAAATCGTCCTCAGTCAAAAACCACTGCTCTAAAGGGAGAGGTAGAATGATATGTAATAGTTTATCTACTTTTGCAAAATAAGCTGCTTGTCTCAGTAGAGAATTGGATTCTCTCCTGGATGAGTAGGTATAGGTATGCATGTTTTCAAAGAAAGTACCAAGGTGATTCTGGTATTTACTTGGGTGAATACTACTGCTACGGAAAATTGGTATTTCTCTTTTTCTAAACAGTTATTTTTTGGACTGCTTATCACATTCCAGGTACTATGTCATTAATTCATAAAGTACTTTGAAATTAATGTACTATATCATTAATTTTCATAAAGTGCTTTGTACTCATATCATTAATTTCATAAAGTAACTCTTTAACCCTGGTTTATTTTATTTTATTTATTTATTTTTAGAGAAAGGGGAAGCGGGGGGGGGGAGAGAAACATCAATGTGTGATTTCCTCTTGTGCGCCCCCTACTTGGGGCATGGCCTGCAACCCAGGCATGTGACCTGACTGTGACTCAAACCAGCAACCCTTTGGTTCGCAGGCCACTGCTCAGCCCACTGAGCCACACCAGCCAGGGCTAACCCCATTTTATAGATTAATGAACTTGCAGTTAATCGGGTAAGGAAATATGTAATTTATATGTGTCTCTGAGAGTGATGTTCCCAGAGTCATACAGCTGTAAGTAGTTAGAAAGATGGTTCTTAGCCTAATGGAAAACACTCTAGAGTCTAGCTGATTATACCACAGCTAAAGGTTGAATGTCTCTGAGGTGAACTTTATCCCTGTATATTTAATTCTACCTAATTTAATCCTAAAGGATAACTTCAGCTTTAAAAAAAAAAAAAAACAACCTACCTTGTTTGTGCAATGTACTGCTTAGGATTGTGGTTCACTAACAAAGTTTCCAGCAAGACAGATCTCAAAATTTATTGTATCTAAATTGGAGCCCTTATCTGAATTTACTTAAATCAGTTATTTTATCACGCTATTAATCTGTCAGTGAACCTCTCACCACATGACCTTGCTTTTTGAGGCCTTAGCCAGGCTTGTTTACTGCCTCTAGGAAAAGATCTTAGTCATTTTCAGGGTGAGATTTTTCACATTTTATAAGAATGGGAGTAGATTGGTTTTCCTAAGAGCTCCATATTCATAACAGCTCTTGCAACAGATATTTACAGAATGGCTTTCAGAATGGCTCTGGCTTCATTTTTTCATGCAGTAAATATTTAATGCAGTCCTATATGTTCGGTCTTGGGGAGACAGCTCCAAACAAGATGCCCATGACCGGACTCTCATGGAGTTTAAATTCTTAAAGCAAATTCAGGCAGATAAATAGGCAGTTGAATGTATGTGATAAGATTTGTAATAAAGTGGGTACTGAGTGCTCTGAAAGCATGTAGATGGGATGCCTAACTTCCCAGAGGTGATAAACAGGTGCCTAAAGGGTAGAAATTGTTCTCCAAACATTGGGAATAGTTTATGTAAAGGCCCCAGAAGCAAGAGAGCATTTTTATTTCAGGGAGTAAGAAGTAGGGTCTGAGTTATTAAGGAATATGGTCTTCTTTTTTTTTTTTAAGATTTTATTTATTTATATTTAGAGGGGAAGGGAAGGAGAGAGGGAGAGAAATATCAATGTATGGTTGCCTCTCTTGCATCCCCTGCTGGGAACTGGCCTGCAACCCAGGCATGTGCCCTGACTGGGAATCGAACCACGATCCTTTGATTCACAGGCCTGCACTCATTCCACTGAGTGACACCAGCCAGGGCTGGTGTTCTTTTTAAGTAGGGGAACTAACATGATCAGATTTGAGTTTTAGAAAAATCACCGTCACTTCAGTGTGGAAAATAATTAAAGCAGGCAAGACTTGAGGCTGCAGTTATGCACTTAAGATGTGATTGTGTTTTGAAAGACCAGTGAAAAGTGGATGGTGGTTATTTACGAAGGAGAATTTAGGAGATTTGATGGGCTGAATGTGAAAGAGAGGAAGAAGTGAAGCATGACACCCAGCGTTCTGGATTGGGCTTTTGAGTGTTGCATTTCACTGAGATAGGAAGACAGCTAGGTGTGGGAGGAAGATGAGTTTGGTTTTGGAAAAACTGGATTCTAGGTGCCTGTAGGATATCCAAGTAGAACCATCTATAACACAGGTGGCAAACACAAGGCCCGCAGGCCAAATCTGGCCCTCCACCTTGTTTTGTCTGGTCCAGCACCTTGCTTCTACCAGGCAGCAGCGCTGAGCTCTCGCTTAAGTGTTAAGGAGTGGTTACACTTACACAGTTGTAAAATCACATTCGGCCCTTTGAAGGCAAACAGAAGGTTGGTTGGGAGGCTGATGTGGCCCCCAGTGAAAATGAGTTTAACACCCCTAATATAATTAGCAGTTGGATCTGTAGTCCTAAATCTTAGCAGAGATTTGAGCCACAGGGAAAGCTGAAGGAATTACTAGCATGTCGATGTAACTGAAACTCTGAAAATGGATGAGATGATACAGGTAAAGTGTATTTGGTGAAAAGAGAAGCTGTCCAGAGATAACCCTGGGGAAACTATGGCCTAGTGTGACCGTAGTCATTAAGGGCTGAACAGAAGAAAACATGGGTAGAGTGAGTGCCTGAACTGGTAGAACGAGTTGGAAAGTTTGATGTTATGCAAGCATTTCATGGAGGGAGTGATCCAAATTGTCAAATTTGGCAGAGAAGTTTAGTGAGATGTGAATTGCAGTGGCTCTTGATTTTTAGCAGTCTTAGTAAGTGTTGAGTAGTGAATGCACAGGTGAGATTGTTTACATAAGTTTGGACAAGAGGGAGAGGATAATGAGGTTGATGCTGAGTTGGGTTTTTTCCCAGGTAGTCATGGCAGGAGCCATTGAGGCCGAAGGAGGCAAACACATTGTTAAGAGTGGTTGAAGTGATGTGCAGTGGAACCTAAACTGGGTGGGGAAGCAGAGGTTGTTGGATAAGGAGGAGGTAGGGGACTGAGATTCCTGATGTAGTCAGGAGCAACCAGGTAACAGCTGAGAGGAGATGTGGCTAGGTCAAGTAGGGTGTCGGATATGATTATATATGAGGTAATAAAATTATGGTTGATTTTAATTTTCTTTTTTTTCTATAAACATGAACTTTGAAAAATTATCAGAAAATAACTATTAAAAAACACAAGTTTAAATAGCTGAATTACTTGCCAACATATTTTTCAACATTCACTAAAACATATCTTTTTTTAAATCTGTTATCTTACAATTTATTTATTTTTTTTTCTTTTTCTTTTTCTTTTTTTAAAAATTATTTCAAGTACCCTGGCTGGTGTAGCTCAGTGGATTGAGCGTGGGCCTGCAAACCACACGAGCGCCATTTGATTCCCAGTCAGGGCACATGCCTGGGTTGCAGGCCGGTTCCCTGCAGGCCAGTTCCCAGCAGGGGACGCACGAAAGGCAACCATACATTGATGTTTCTCTCCCTCTCTTCTTCCCCTCTAAAGATAAATAAAATCTTTAAAAGAAATTATTTTAAGTTGTTCAAGTACAGTTGTCTGCATTTACCCCCATGACTCCCTCACAAACATATCTCTTTTTGTATAATAGTTTGTTTCAGTGATTGAATTGTTAATTTGAATTTAGGTAGATAATTTTTTAATTTTTTAAAATATACTTTATTGCTTATTCCATTACAGTTGCCCCAATTCCCCCCCTTCATTCCCCTCCACCCTGCACACCCCCTCCACCACCATTCCCCCCCTTTAGTTTATGCCCATGTGTCACAAATTCTTTAGATTCTATATTTCCCATACTATTCTTGCCCTTCCCCCATCTATTTTCTACCTACCATCTATGCTACTTATTTTCTGTACCTTCTCCCCCCTTTTCCTCCTCCCACTCCCCTGTTGATAACCCTCCATGTGATCTCCATTTCTATAGTTCCCTCCTTATCTACCTGTCTGCTTAGTTTGCTCTTGTTTTAGGTGTGGTTGTTGATAACTGTGAGTTTGCTGTCCTTTCACTGTTCCATCTTTTTTATCTTCTTTTTCTTAGGTAAGTCCCTTTAACATTTCATATAATAAGGGCTTGGTGATGATGAACTCCTTGAATTTGATCTTATCTGAGAAGCACTTTATCTGCCCTTCCATTCTAAATGAAAGCTTTGCTGGATAGAGCAATGTTGGATGTAGGTCTTTGGATTTCATGACTTGAATACTTCTTTCCAGCCCCTTCTTGCCTGTAAGGTCTCTTTTGAGAAATCTGCTGACAGTCTGATGGGAACTCCTTTGTAGGTGACTGTGTCCCCTTATCTCTCGCTGCTTCTAGGATTCTCTCCTTCATTTTAATCTTGGCTAATGTAATGATGATGTGCCTTGGTGTGTTCCTTCTTGGGTCCAATTTCTTTGGGACTCTGAGCTTCCTGGATTTCCTGGAAGTGTATTGCCTTTACCAGATTGGGGAAGTTCTGCTATATTATTCAAAAAAGTGTTCCACTTGTAGCTGTTCCTGTTCCCCTTCTGGTACCCCTCTAATTAGGATGTTGGAACATTTAAAGATGACCTGGAGGTTCCTAAGCCTCTCCTCATTTTTTTTGAATTCTTTTTTCTTGATGTTTTTCTCTTTGGTCATTTTTTCTTCCTTCTGGTCCACTCCCTTGATTTGAGTCCCAGTTTCCTTTCCATCACTATTGGTTTCCTGTGCATTTCCCTTCATTTCAATTAGTGTAGCCTTTATATGTTCCTCTAATTTGTAACTAAAATCAACCAGTTCTGTGAGCATCCTGATCACCAGTGTTCTGAACTGTGTATCTGATAACCAGGTTGGCTATCTCCTCGTCGCTCAGAAGTATTGGCTCTGGGGTTTGATCTGCTCTGTTTGAGCCATAATGTTTTGGTCTGTTCACACCTGTTACAGATGAGGGGCGGAGCCCTAGGTATTCACCAGGTCAGGGCGACCCAGTCTCTGGTTTGTGACTCTGTATGCCGGGGCAGGGTCAGAGAGGGGCAGTGGTGCTTGTTCCATGCTCTCTCTTGGATTTCGGTCCCCTCTGTGACTTTCCTGGTGCCAGCTCCTGGGTGTGTGGGCCTGTGCACCCTCCAGGACCCTGTGGGTCTCTCCAACAAACGGTCTGTGAGCCTGGGAGCCTTTCCCGGCACCTTGACCCCGGAAAGTCTTTTCAATTGATGCTTTTAAGCTTTAATTCCTGGCGCTGGGGCCCTGGGTCATGCGGTCTGTCTCACTGCTCGTTCCTCTGCCTGGTTTATCTGCACGCAAACATGTGACCGCAGTCAACCAGCCACCTTACGCCCCCACTGGGTCTGCCCGTTGCCACCCCACACCTGGGATCTGCCAACCGCTGCCTGTGCGCCTGTCGGTCAGGCCACTTTTTCCTGCATGACCCCGCTCAGCCAGCCGCTGACTCTGCCCCTCTTACCGGTCTGGCTGAATGGTTTGTTGTCAGACTTCTGTACAGTTCAATTTTCTGTGTTTTGGGTGCATTTTTGTTACTAAAACTTTGTTGTCTTTAAACTTAGTTGTGTGAGGAGGCACAGTGTTTCCACCTACGTCTCCATCTTGGCCAGAAGTCTTAGGTGGAGAATTTTGAATACTAACTAGCCATAAAGTTCATTGGCCTGTCAAAAATTTTGCTAGTAGAACAACACAAATTTTTTTTTAAATTAATTTATTTTTTTAAATTGATTATGCTGTTACAGTTGTTCTATTCCCCCCTTCATTCCCCTTCACCCTGCCCCCCCAACCCCACCATTACCCCCCTTTAGTTTATGTCCATGTGTCTCAAGTCCTTTAGGTTCTATATTTCCCATGCTATTCTTGCCCCCCCCCATCTATTTTCTATCTACTGTCTATGCTACTTATTTTCTGTACCTTCTCCCCCCTTCTCCTCTTCCCACTCCCCTGTTGCTAACCCTCCTTGAGATCTTCATTTCTATGTTTCCACTCCTGATCTAGCTGTCCTTTTAGTTTGCTTTCGTTTTAGGTGTGGTTGTTAATAACTGTGAGTTTGTTGTCCTTTCACTGTTCATGTTTCTTTAACTTCTTTTTCTTAGATAAGTCCCTTTAACATTTCATATAATAAGGGCTTGGTGATGATGAACTCCTTGAATTTGGTCTTATCTGAGAAGCACCTTATCTGTCCTTCCATTCTAAATGAAAGTTTTGCTGGATAGAGCAGTCTTGGTTGTAGGTCTTTAGATTTCATGATTTGGAATATTTCTTTCCAGCCCCTTCTTGCCTGTAAGGTCTCTTTTGAGAAATCTGCTGACAGTCTGATGGGGACTCCTTTGTAGGTGATTGTCCCCTTAGCTCTTGCTGCTTCTAGGATTCTCTCCTTCATTTTAATTTTGGCTAATGTAATTATGATATGCCTTGGTGTGTTTCTTCTTGAGTCCAACTTTTTTGGTACTCTCTGGGCTTCTTGGATTTCTTGGAAGTCTATTTCCTTTGCCAGATTGGGGAAATTTTCTTTTATTATTTGTTCAAATAGTTTTTCCACTGGTGGTTGTGTCTTTCCCCCTTCTGGTACCCCTATAATTCGGATATTGGAGCGTTTAAAGATGTCCTGGAGGTTCCTAAGACTCTCCTCATTTCTTTGAATTCTTGCTCCTTGACTCTTTTCTGTTTGGCCATTATTTGGTTTCTTCTGGTCCACTCCATTGATTTGAGTCCCAGTTTCCTTTTCATCTCTATGGGTTTCCTGTGGAATCCCATTCATTTCCCTTAATTTAGCCTTCATATGTTTCTCTAATTTGTGGCTATAATCAACCAGATCTGTGAGGAAGCTGATGACCAGTGTTTTAAACTGTGCGTCTGAGAGTTTTGCTATTTCTTCGTCGCTTAGATTTATCTCTGGGGCTTTGAGGTCTCCCTGCGACATTTTTGGTCTGTTCTGGCCCTTTAAATGTGAGAAACTGCGCCTTGGACTCCCAGGTCGCTGGGTTGTGACGCTGTATGTGGGGGCGTGGTCAGAGCGGGGAAATGGCGTCCCCCTCTATCGCAGCTGCGGCCGGTCCAACCCCCACTCCCTCGCTCGGGCGCAATTAGGCAACCGCAGTCAACTCGCTGCACTGCCTCCCCACTGTCTCCTCTGCAGTCGCTCACCCGGTGGGTTGCTCGGTCGCTCACTAGGTCCAATCCTGGGTTTGGAACCCGTGCGTCTGGATTCGCGCGTCTGGATTCCGTGCCCGGGTCCGACCGAGCCCTCCCTTGCAGCTCCTCACCAGACGCCGGTTTCGCCCTTTACCGGTCGGGCTGAAGAATTTGTTGTTAGCGGACTTCCGAAAAGTTCAGTTTTCCGTGTTCTGGTTGTGTTTTCTGATGCTAATATTTAGTTGTCCCTAAACTTGGTTGTGTGAGGAGGCACGGCACATCCACCTAAACCTCCATCTTGACGGAAGTCCAGAACAACACAAATTTGTCACTCTACTACTGTGGAAGCAAGTCCTTAGCATTCGTAACCTTCTTACATATGTTCTAAGTATTCATGTCTATTCTTTTTTAAAATATATTTAGTTTATTTATTTTTAGAGAAAGAGGAAGGGAGGGGGAAAGAGGAAGAGAAACATCAATGTGTGATTGCCTCTCATGCACCGCCCCCACTGGGAACCTGGTCCGCAACCCAGGTACATGCCTCAACTGGGAATCGAACCGGTGACCCTTTGGCTCACAGGCTGGTACTCAGTCCACTGAGCCACACCAGTCAGGGCTCATGTCTATTCTTTTTAATGTTTTTAAAACATTTTTAAAGATTTCAGAACAGCAAGTATTTATTTAAAAAACAAACAGCAGAAGTTATGAAATGCATAAGCTCCCGGAGCACATCAGTGACCGAATCAGGTCTGAAGACCAGACTTTATTCTTATGTAGTGGTCTTTTCCATACCTAGTACCTTTCAATTTTTCTCTGAAGGAGTCAGCCTAAAGGTGACTAAAAAAAGAACAGATGCCATGAAGATAGTGGGAAAATAACCAACAATTTTAATCTGTACCACAGATGTCTTTCTGGATGTTTTTTACAAATATAACTATATTTATCTGGATAAATTTTCAGTTAGAAATAATAGCAAACCAAGCATAACCAGACACATTTTAATTTAATTGCCTTGGTAAAATTTGAATAACCATTTCTTTGCCTTTTATTTAATATAATTTATGATTATATTTTTCTACTATATATATTTTAGTAGACTTTATTTAAAGAGCAGTTTTAGATTCTCAACAAAATTGAGCTAAAGGTACAGAGATTCCTCTTACAGTCCCTGTACCCACACATGCACAGCCACCCTCATTATCTGCAGGCCGGTGCTCAGTCCATTGAACCACACCAGCCAGGGCCTGCCACCCCCGTTATCAATACCAGAATTGTACATTTGTTAGGACTAATGAATCTCTGTTGGCATATAATTACCTGGAGTCCGTAGTTTACATTAGGGTTTATTCACTCTCGGTGTGTTCTGGCATGTTCTATGGGTTTGGACAAATGTATAATCACATGTGTCCACCATTATAGATTATGCAGAGAGCTCCACTGCCTTAAAACTCTTCTGTGCGCTGCCTGTTTCATCCCTCCCTCCCCCGCTTAACCCCTGCAACCACTGATCTTTTTACTGTGGCTATAGTTTTGCCTTTTCTATTATTCAGTATAAAGTGTTTGCCCGTGATCTAAATTAATATTTCAAATTTTTGTTTAGGCAAGCAATACTTCAAAAAATGTATCAAAAGCAAAACAATTGGTTGAAAAAGCAAAAGCTTTACACATTAGTAGGTCAAAAGCTGCTGAAGAAATAGTGACACCCTTAAGGCGTTCATCTAGACATCAGATTCTTCCTGAAAGGAACAAAATATCAGGCACAGAAGTAAGTATTACAAATATTTATTGATATAAATTCTGCGCTAGTCTGTTGTTTGGGGGTGGGAGAGGAAACCATTATAAAGTTAGAGGTAGAATTGTAAGGTAGCCTTGAGGTGGCAGGAAGACTGTTATTTTCATTTAAGGCTTTGGGTCTCTTTTGCCTGCAGAAAGTAGTCTGAATCCTTATCGAGTCATTCAAGACCCTTCATGGCCGAAATAGCTCTTTCCTTCCTTCAAAACACTGCCCTTCCTCATGTATAACCTTTTGGCTCTATTCACACTAAATTATTCATTTGTCCCTAAATGGTGCGATTTTTACTTCTTTCAGTTTATAGTCTCATAATGGGGAGATGTATGGAGTTGCTAATGTAAAATTATCTTGTCTGTGGCTTCTAGCTCTGTGATCCTTTTGAAATTTTAATGACATTAATTATATGACATATTTTGAACATTTTTTTCTTATTTTGTCTTAGGACTCTGTAATAATAAATTCAAGTTCTACTTCTTTAAAGCATTCTGAGACAAAGCAGAAGAAACTCCAGTGTCTAAATGATGTGCTAGGGAAAAAACCTAACAAGACTCCTAAAAATGTACCTGGTAATCAGATTTGATAACATATATGATGAACATTAGAATGTTTTGGAGGGATTATATGTTTCTGAATGTTCTTACATTAATTTAATCACATCTTATAGAATATAACTTGATTATATTAAATCTTTTATCTATTTTAGTAAGTAAAGTTATAATGTAAATAGTTTTTACTTGAAAAATAATTAAATAAAAAAGATTAAAAAAGGAGTTTTGCAAAGAGTATATTTTTAACTGAGTATATTTTAAGTTATTGCATTTGTGTATCTATTTATCCTCGGTTAAGTTAGTGGTTCCCTAATTGGGCTAATCATCAAAATCATCTGGGTAAAATTTTTTAAAAGTAAATCTTTCTTTTCTTCTATACACACTAATTAAGAATTTCCAGAGGTGGGTAGTGGGAATATGTAGTTTTAAAAAAAAATTGTTCTCCAAGAGATTCTGGCAACAAAATTGCCAGATGAAGGACCAAATCATTATATAGATTTTTTTTTAATTAAAAAAATTTTTTTTAATTAAAAAAAAATGTAAGGAGTTAATCTTTTTAAACTTTAAAAAGAGAGATGTGATTTTGAAAGTAGCTGGAGGTAAGTGGAGATGATGAACATTAATGCTAACCTAAGTATTTCTTTTTCTAAGGAAAAATGAAAGTCGCACCTTTATTTCATACCCGAAAAGCTCATAAAACAGCTGATCCTATCCTTGGTTTTGATGAAAGCAGGTCAGTCCAGTGCAAATTTTTAAATGCCAAAATGTTTTATGGGTTGTATTTTATATTTATTTGTTTACTTTGATAAGAAAGCATGTAAATTATTATTTGAAGTTCTAATAGGTTAATTTTATTTATTTATTTTCATTATTTTTAGATTTTATTTATTTTTTAGAAAAAGGAAGGGAGGGAGAGAAACATTGATGTGCAACAGATGCATTGATCTTTTGCCTCTCACACACCCCCAACTGGGGAGCAGGCCAGCAACCGAGGCATGTGCCGTGACTGGGAATCAAACCAGCAACGTTTTGGTTTGCAGGCTGGCACTCAGTCCACTGAGTCAAACCAGCCAGGGCTATAGGTTCATTTTAAAAGATGACAGTATTGACAATGCTACAAATGAATGTGAAGATCTTAGTTTTTTAAAACATTTTGTGGCCATCTCCAAACAAAACAGTTGAAAAATAAACTGGCAAACAAAAAAATACCAAATAGCTGATTATGAACTTATTCAGTAAATATTTAAATATCAAGCACTGCTTTTGGTACTAGGAATATTATGAAGAACAAAATAAGACACATTCCCTGTCCTTATGAGGTTTATACCCGAGAGGAAAGACAGTCTATGATTAAACATTAATTGGGTCAACAAGTGAAATATTGCAGTTATTCTAGAAGGAGAGATAGAAAGTTGTATTAAAGTTTTTTTTAAAGGTTTTATTTATTTATACTTGGAGGGGAAGGGAATGAGAGAGGGAAAGAAATATCAATGTGTGGTTGCCTCTCATGAGCCGCGCACTGGGGACCTGGCCGGTAACCCAGGCATGTGCCCTGACTGGGTATCAAACTGGTGGCCATTTGGTTTGCAGCCTGTACTCAATCTACTGAGCTACACCAGCCAGGGCTCTATTAAAGCTTATATTAAGTAAATTTGGTCTGTCAAGAAAGGCTTTGCTGAGGAAAGGACCCCTGAACTGAAGGATAAGCAGGAACTCATCGGAGGGAGGAGCAGTGCTCCAGTCAGAGGGAATAATCTGTGCACAGTCCCTACAGCTGATGGAGCCTGGTAAATACAGAGGCCTGGAGGAACGCCAGTGTGGCTCAAGCATAGAGAGCAGGGTGAGAGGAATGAGCTTAAGCTGGAGGGGTGAGTGTCAGTCCAATCAAAGGGTTTTAAATTTGCGTGTGGCCATTTGGATTTTGCAAGTTTAATCTGACTGCTGGGTTAATTTGGCAGTGTGTGAAGAGTGGCATAGAGGAGGGTTTAGAGTGGATGTGGGAGTCCAGGTGTGAGATGATGGAAATATGGACTCAGGTGTTGGGAATGGTGTATGAAAAAATTTAGGAGATAAATTTGAGAACCCTTAATGACTAATTAGTTAGAGTCAGGATGGGGGACAGGAAGGGGTAAGCATGACCCTCAAGTTCTGGTCTATGTAAGTGGACGGCACAGTGAAAGAAAACCAAATTTAGGGACATTGTGTGTTCAGGTCATTTTTTTTCCTGTTTCAATTTAATTGACATATAGTTACATGTTGTTCAATGTACAAATCTTAAGCATACAGTTTTGATAAGTGCATTATATGGAGATATAGTATGTTTATGTTATTCCAGGACAGTTACTCTTTTTCTGTTTTTTTTCACCACCACCACAAAAGTTCTCCACTATTCTGATTTCTATTGCCATAGATTAGTTTTGTCTGTTTTACAACTTTACATAAACTTTAATTTTATATATTTAAACATAATAAATATAAATATATATTTATCTATTCTTTGTGTCTAGTTACTTTTGCTCAGTATGCACAGACACATGTATATATACTTACATCAACTTTATTCAAGTATGATGTACATACAATAAGCACTTATTTTAAATAAACAATTTGAAATTTAACAAATGTACATATATGTGCAATCACCACTACAATAAAGATATAAAACATCTTCATCACTCTTCATAATGCTCCCTATGCCTCTTGCACGTAATCTCTGCCCTCCAGCTCCCATCGTTGGGTAGGTGCATGTTTAACACAATATGCCAAACCATTTTCCCAGGTGTTTTTTCCACTTTACGAAGAAACAAAGTTGAGAGTGCCAGTTGCTACACATTCTTGTCAGTACTTGACATTATCATAGTTTTTAATTTTAGCCATTCTAATAGGCTACCACTATACATCATTGTAGGGTTTTGTGTTTCATCAATTAATTTAATTAACTTCAAAACTTAACTGAGGTATAATTATATACTGTCAACTGTCTGTATTTGAAGACTGTAATGTGGTGAGCTCTGTCAGTCGTACACACGGAAACCACCACCACTATAATAAAGACACTCACTTATTTCCATTACCCCTAAAAGGTCCCTTACTCTCTTCTGCAGTCCATTCCTCCTCTGGTCTCAGCTTCAGGCAAACACTAATCTCTTTTCTGTGTGTTAATTTGCATTTTCTAGGATTGCGTGTTTATGAAATTGTGTAGTATATACTGTTTTGTATCTGGCTTCTTTTATTCGGCATGTTAATTTTGAGATTTATTCATGTTGTCAGTAATGCATTGCTTTTGTATGAATATTCCATTGTCTCTGTCACCTATTGCTGGACTTTTGGGATGTTTCCATTTTTAAGCTACTGTGAATAAAGTTGCTGTGAGCATTCCTGTACAAGTCTGCAAGGATTTTGTGATGACTGTGTTAAATTTATTAGTTGATTTGGGGAGAATTGATATTTTAACAGTAATGACACTTCTGATCCAAGAATATGGTATATATCTCCATTTAAGTTTTATTAATATTAAATGTAACCTGTAAGTATTTAGCGTTTTTAATGTTATTATCAATGGTACTTTATCTTCCAGTTGTTGATTTCTAGTACATAGAAATATTTAAAGATTTTACTTATTTTGTTTTTAGACAGAGGGGAAGGGAAGGAGAAAGAGAGAGGGAGAAACATCAGTGTGTGGTTCCCTCTCACATGCCCCCCAACTGGGGACCTGGCCTGCAACCCAGGCATGTGCCCTGACTGGGAATGGAACCGGCGAACCTTTGGTTCACAGGCCAGAACTCAGTCTGCTGAGCCACACCAGCCAGGGCTGTATATTTTATATTAGTACCTGTACCCTTCCCCTTACAGTTTATTTTCTGCTATAGGTACATATTATTGTAATTTAGCTACAACTTGTTTACCCATCTTTTCCTCCTTCCCTCCTATTAACAATAGTAAAAAAGGTTAACTTCCTCTTTCCTATGACTCATCCCTCCAATCTGGCTTTAGATCTCACCTTTCCCTCATTCTCTCAAATAGGAAAGAAAAATAGAAGTAGAAGTTTTTGTAGCCTGTCTTTAATTATCAACCCAAATTCCTATTTGTAGATAATATTACGGTTCTCCTCCTATGGCAGGCTTGGAAGGGTGTATAAGCTGTGACACACCCCCACCACACTCTTTCCCGCTTGGCCACTCCAGCATCCCGTCTTCTCCCTCCTTACCTGCCTCCCCTGAGCCAGCATTCCTATGATTAGCAATATGAAGATAAGCATTAATAAGGGCACTAGTGTTCTTGCTATTATATTGGAAATGGTATTACATTAGAAGTCCTGGTATTCACTTTTTTGAAACATGGCACTGATTTTGTTTTCTGAATGTTATATGTATAAATGCATATCTTTTTAAAAAAAGAAAGACAGAAAAGATTGATCTATCCAGCAAAGCTTTCATTTAAAATGGAAGGACAGATAAAGTGCTTCTCAGATAAGATCAAATTCAAGGAGTTCATCATCACCAAGCCCTTATTATATGAAATGTTAAAGGGACTTATCTAAGAAAAAGAAGATTAAAAAGATGAATAGTAAAAGGACAGCAAACTCACAGTTATTAACAACCACACCTAAAACAAAAGAAAACTAAGAGGACAGCTAAATCAAGAGCAGAACCATAGAAATGAAGATCACATGGAGGGTTATCAACAGAGGAGTGGGAGGAGGAGAGGGGTGAGAAGGTACAGAAAATAAGTAGCATAGATGGTAGGTAGAAAATAGATAGGGAGGAGGGCAAGATTAGTATGGGAAACGTAGAATCTAAAGAATTTGAGACAGGTGGTCGTAAACTAAAGGGGGGGAGTGGTGGGGGAGGGGGTGTGCAGGGTGGAGGGTAATGAAGGGGGAAATAGAACAACTATAATGGCATAATTAATAAAATATATTTTTTTTAAAAAAAGAAAGAAGAAGGAAAAATCCCACCACTCTAAAATAGCCTGTTAACATTTTGGTGGATGTCCGTCTTTTTTTTTCTATATATACTTATATACTTATTTAACTTCTTAACACTAATAGACTTGTTTTTATGATAAGCAAAAAAGAATGTTTTATGATAAGCTAACAACTGATTAAATCTTTTCAAATTAAAAGGTATTTATTTTACAGATAGTTTATTTTTTTTTTAAGTTTTGATAAACCTTAGCTTTCTTTTTCACATCATTTTCTTAAAAGTCAAGATACATCTGAAAGATCTCAGGATTGTGACATGCAGCTGAGAGCAAAGCGTGACTTTCTAATGAGTGGTCTGCCAGATTTGTTGAAACGGCAAATTGCAAAGAAATCTGCTGCATTAGATGTGTACAATGCAGTGAGTACCAGTTTCCAGAGAGTTGTTCACGTACAACAAAAAGATGATGGTGAGCTTGTTAATTGTTATTGAATATTTACTTTGAAAATGTAGAAGTAATATGGAACTATATAAGTTGGTTTAAGATGAGGCTACAGTTTAAGTATAATTCTTATATAGCGATTTTAGTGGGAATTTAAAGTCTCTTCCTGTGCCTTGGACTCACTTTACCAAGGATGGAGATGAGGGAGCAAGAAAGCCAAAGGCATCCTCAGCCTTTATCCCTTATGCCAGGGCAGCGGGCACACATGTGTGGAACTGTAAGTGCATAGTGTTCTCCAGAGAGGCCCTGTGATCTAAAAGGAAGGCAATTCTCTTCTCAAATTGTAGCCTATGTGTGAAGAGATCATTTTTAAGAATTTCTCACAGGAGTTCCAGTCCTGCCCTTTCCAAGCTACCGTTGAAAGTTCCGGGGAAATCTGCCTACTTTCCAGCACAGCATTTGCAGTTTAGCACCATACCCTGTTCTCACGTGCACCATGCACAGGAGTGAGCTGCTCGCACAAGCCTCTTATACAGTGATGTTAGTTTGACTATGACCTAATTTCGTATGGATTTTCATGTTGTAGCAACCATAGTCTTACTTTACTTATGTGGTTTTTAATTGCTGGTAATATACAAAGCCTTATATCTTCGTTTTTTCATTGTTTCTACCTAAAGTTATTTTTGTCAGCACAAAAACAACTTTTTTCTCAGCTGGCTTTGTGGTTTGGTTTAGTGCACTCCGATCGTGAAATGTACACTATGTTCTTTTCTCTTTCATTTCATTTTGGGTTTCTGACCTTGGTACTTTCTGAGTTTCATTCAGTGTCTCATGCATGGAAAACATCCCAGTCTGTCTCTGTAGTAATATTCTACTTTTCCTTTTTTCCCAACGCTGCTGCTGGCCATTCAGTTTATGAAGCCTTTCCTTGTTATTTTTTCCTAGTTCAGCTTTATATAGCATTTTTATGTTCAGCTATAGAAATTAGTTATGCTTGTTTTCCCCTGATTTTGACAAAGCCATCTCAGAGGCATGTTACTGTAAAACTTAGTGTACCTATTTGTGATGAACAGATGAGGCTGTCACCGAGAGCACCTCTCTCTTAGAACCTTCAGAGTTAGCGAACACTTAACTGTTACCTGGCATTCTGCCGAGCACTTGTAAGCCAATGTGATTTCATCTCCTTAACTACTCTAGGAGGTTGAGTATTATAGTTGTCACCCCTACTTCACACCTGAAGAAACTAAGGTTTAGGATCTTGCCCACACCCGCCTAGCTAGTAAGTGGCAAGGTGTGGATTTGAATCCAGGTCTGACTTCAGAGATTAAACTTTAAACCAAGATGTTAACCGACCCTGAAATTTTTACCATGAGAAGCAAGGTTGATTTAAAAAGAGAAGAAAATTTGTAGATATTTGCTTATTTTTAACAGCTGGGAGGGAAGACTGGGTAATTTTATTAATGGTACATTTTTGGAGGTGAGGATTTTTCTTCCTTATGTTCTCAACTGAGTTTTGATACTTTTGTGTTAACTATGTAGTTGCATGAAGTCTTCTCATGTTTATATACTTGGCATTTGATAAATTGATAATATGTGAGTGAAGGTAATTACGACAATCTTTCTGTCTTTCTTTAGAGTGCCATTTGTGGCATTTGAAACCACCCACTTGTCCTCTTTTAACTAAACTTAAACAGTTGAATACTCAAGTAGAGGTGGAAGATCTCTCAAAATGTGTTATTGCCCTTGGTGAATTTTCAACATTGAATTCAAATTTGAAAAGTAATAAATCTGCTCTTGTGGTAAGTATTAGAAAGCTCATCCATTGTGTGGCATTTGCTTCACATCTTTTAGAGGAAAAAAATGTGGATATCTATTGTTGTAGCCTCAAGTTCATTTTTTCCTAGAGTTCATTTTTAAAAAATAAATTGCAGCTGAAGTACATATCTCTTTTAAATATTTCTAGAGCTATAAAAATGTTTTAAGAATTAATGATAGCCAGTTTCAAGAGATTACATTATAGAATACATTTAGATACTTTATAAGTCATCATTATAGCCTAGTAAGTATGTGAAGTACAATTAGTTGAAACAGAACAGTAGAAATATGAACTAAGTCCTTCAAAAGCTATGCAAATGAAGTTTTTGCCCTCAAGGTTACATTTAGTAACATTACCATCAAGGTTACATTTTTGTGACGAAAGCTAATATTGACTTATTATAGACAAAGTAGTTGGTAGCATTGTGCTTAATGTTAATAGATGATGTGGGTCAGTTATTGAGTCGTTTATTCTTTATTTCAGTTTACGGGAAGAAGGAAGGACTTTACTGAAGAAGTAAGAAATCTTTTGCTGGAGGAAATTAGGTGGTCAAATCCTGAGTTTTCTTTGAGGAAATATTTTCCTTTGCTTCTTAAAAAACGAACTGAGCACAAAGTACTCTCTGAATGTCATTGTGAACAAGGTTAGTGATAATTATTTTTTATGTTAACATTTTCCTTTTGAGAGCACTAAGAGCCATTGACTCTTGGAAGTGGTCATAATGAAGAGAACATTGCTTATGGTTGGCAGGGAGAATTTGTTCAACGGAAGTAAAGCATCTTGTGCAATGCATTGTTAGCCCCTGCCAGCTTTTAGGGATGCCAGCCCTAAGACAGCTATTACTTATTCACTAAGGAAAGCCTTAAATGAGGTAATTTGAACTTTTATAGCTTGTACAAAGGCATTCTAAATAACAAGATATTCAGCTTGCTTTCAGTATGCCACATTTGGTTCTTGCCTTTCATTTTTATAGTAAGACAATTGGATGTTTTGAAGTAATATTACTATGATTATTGGGTATTAAATATTTTTCATTAGTAAGGATATGCATTTCTGTTTCTGTATAGAAATCGTACAGCTAGAGCCCAGTGTCAATCTAAAAGAAACCAAAAGGAAACGAGTGGAAACAGAAAACCATAAGTCAAAAAGAAAGAAACCAAATGAGTACTCAGAAAATCCAAAAATGATAAATGGAAAACCAAAAGAATTTGACAAAAGAAACAATTCCACTGGGACAAAACTAAATTCTCCCAAAGGTCGATGTTCTAAAACGTGCAGGAAGAATCAAGCTGCTCTGAGTACTACATGTAAAGTGGAAACAGAAGCAGTAGGAGATTCTGATGTTCTCATAATAGATGACGACAAAGCTTCTACGTCAGAAATATCTTCTATTCCTGGTAAATTCATTTTTCTCCCTCTGGTCCTAGAACTCTTTTGTTGTTTTTTTTAATCTGTCTCTACCCCTCTCTTTTAATATGTGCTCATTGCAAGTTTAAACTGTGATATGTATAAAATAAGAAGTGGAAGTCTCATTGATTAGAGTCTTGTATATGACCACATTGGTGTTTGGTCTTTGATTTTTCTGTGCTTCTGTAAATACTTATGCTTTTTTAAAAACCTGGGATTGCCCTGGCTAGTATGTCTCAGTTGGTTGGAGTGTCATCCTGTAAAACCAAAAGGTTAAGGGTTCAGTCCTCAGACAGGGCACATACTTACGTTGTGGGTTCGATCCCTGGTTGAGGTGCATGTAGAAGACAGCCGATGATGTTTCTCACATCGACATGTCTTCTAGCCTGCAAAGTTTCTTTTGAGAACTCAGCCGACAGTCTTATAGGAACTCCCCTGTAGGTAACTGTCTCCTTTGCTCTTGCTGCTTTTAAGATTCTCTCTTTATCTTAAATTTTTGACCTTTTAATTATGCTGTGTCTTAGAGTTGGCCTCTTTGCATCCTTCTTGTTTGGCACTCTGTGCTTCCTGGACTTGCATGTTTATTTCCTTCACCAAATTAGGGACAATTTCTTTCACAATTTTTAAAGTAGATTTCTAATTTCTTGCTCTGTCTCTTCTAGCACCCCTGTGATGCAAATGTTGCATTTCTTGAAGTTGTCCCAGAGGCTGCTTACACTGTCCTCATTTGTTGTCTTCTTGATGTTCTGGTTGGTTGTTCTTTTCTTCCTTATGTTCCAGGTCATTGATTTGATTCTTGACTTCATCCACTCTACTGTTGTTTCCCTGTAAATTGTTCTTTATTACAATTAGTATATCCTTCGTTTCTGATTGGATCTTTTCTTTGCTGTTGAGGACCTCACTAAGTTCCTTGAGCATCCTTATAACCAGTTTTGAACTCTGCACCTGATAGATTGCTTATCTCCATTTTGTTTAGCTCTTTTTCTGGAGTTTTGATCTGTCCTTTCATGTGGACCATGTTTCTTTGTCTCCTTGTTTTGTCAGCCTCCCTGTGTTTGTTTCTGTGTATTAGGTAGAGCTGCTTTGACTCCCTGTCTTGGCCTAATGTAGTAGGAGTCCTGTTGGGTCCAGTGGCACAGCCTCCCCTATCACCCAAACTGGGTACTCGAGATGTGCCCTTTGTGTGAGCTGAGTACACCCTCTTCTTGTAGTTGAGCCTTGGTTGCTGTTGGCAGGTGAATGGGAGGGATTTATCCAGGCCAGTCAGCTGCAAGGACTGGCTGTGACCACTGACCACCAATCTCCACCCTCTGTGGAGGGTCAGCTGTACAGGGGCAGGGTGGTGTTGGTCTGATGTGGTCTCTAGCTGTACATTTTATTTTGTTTTGTTTTTTTCATTGTTTTGGGAGAGACAGGAAGGGGGAGAAAGAGACATCAGTGAGAGAGAAGAAGGGAGAGAGAGAGAAACATCAATGTGAGAGAGAAGCTTCATTCGGTTGTCTCTCTGCATGTGAACCGGGAAGCACAGGTGCTGAGCCCGGGGATGGAGGCCACAGGGTCCACATATTGAACCTAAGTACGTGCCCTTCCTGGGAATGCGAGCTCCAGCCTTTGGGTTATGGGGCAACTTGCCAACCAACTGAGCCACAACGGCCAGGGCAGTATGGTAAAAATTATTTTCCCTGTGTCATGTTTCTTGAATTATTATTAAAAATTTAAGTGTACACTTTTAAATCTTACTGTCATGAGACCTTATAATTTTTTTAAATGTTTTATTTATTTATTTTTACAAAGAGGGGAAGGGAGGGAGGAAGAAAGGGAGAGAAACATCAATGTGTGGTTGCCTCCTGCACACCCCGAACTGGTGGTCCAGCCTGCAACCCAGGCATGCACCCCAACTGGGAATTGAACCGGCGACCCCTTGCTTCACAGGCCAGCGCTCAGTCCACTGAGCCACACCAGCCAGGGTTTATGGTGGTTTTTGAGGGAGGAATTTGATGTGAAGAATTTTCAGTATAATATTATGTTTTGAAACTTTCTTTTTGGCAATTTGTAGATATAAATACAGTATTCGTACAAATATTTATTGTTACATGAACTTAATGCAGATGTCTAAGAATATGTGTTTATGTCAGGGAACAAATATTTGATATCTATTTTTTGCTTTAGATTCTGGAACTGAAGACACACTTTGGACAGAAAAGTATCAACCACAGAACTCCAGTGAACTCATAGGCAATGAGCTAGCTATAGAAAAGCTGCATAGGTTGGTCAAATTAAGAAATGGTTTATGAATCTAGTTTTTTAAAATTTTATTCTGAAACCTAAAAGTTATAAAGTAATACATTATATGGTAAAATCTTAACAGAAAAAAGTACAGAAGAATTATAAGTAAATATCTGTCTCTTTTTCCTAGAGGTAAACCACTCTTAAAGGTTTCTTGTAAAATCTTTCAGAAGATGTTTTTACATACATTAGTTTCTTCTTTCCTAACAAATGGGGTCACATTATTACTAATTCAAGTCCATAATCTCTTTTTCTATAATTTTCACATCCAAAAAGTTCTGAAAACTGGAAGTGTGTTAATTTTATTACATAAAGTTATTTGTGGTGTTTATTGCTCTTGCTTATAGGCATTCATACATTTTTTAAAATAGAGATAGTAAGTGATTGTGGATGTACTGCCACAGACCTCTTTAGGGCTATGATGTAAGTACATGTACCAAATTACTATCCTAATATCTGAAAAATTCTGAATTCTAAAATCCATCTGGCTCAAAGGATTTCATATGAGGAATTGCACCCCATAACAAGAGTTAACACCTTGAGCTTGGCACTGTTCTAAGTACTTGCATTGTTCTTAGCTCATTTAGTCCTTAGAACTATAGTATAAGTACTGTTGTCTTTATCTCATAGATAAGGAATGACGCCTAGAGAGGTTGAGTATTTAAGGTCACACAGCTGGAAAGGGATGGAGCTAGAATTTAAACTCAGGTGGTCTAGCTCCGGACAAGTTAATCTTTCTTATATTTAGCATTGTATGTTAGACATCCTCCATGTTATCACACAGTCTACCTAGATTCTTTTTAGTTGCTGGGTATTGGTGTCTCATATGGCTATAACATATGTATCTTTTCCTCGACTGTTGTACTTTTAGGTTTTTCCTTTTGTGGGCTAATGTAAACCATGTTGCAGCAAGTATCCTTGTACATATAGTCTATCTATATCCTGTGAATTATTTTATTAACATACATTTTCTTATGGCAGTTGGTTGAAAGACTGGAAAAGAAGAGCTGAATTGGAAGAAAGACAAAATTTGAAGGGAAAAAGAGATGAGAAGCAAGGTATTTTGAGTCATTTTTTTCCCATTTGAATGACGTTTTAGAATTATATTTGCTAAAAACTTCTATAAAATATCTTACTCATATTTTATATTAAGTGTTCTAGTTTTTGCACATTAAATTTTTAGCATCTATGGGTTTGGTGAGGTAGGATTGCTGCTTAAGCAACTGTCGTTTTATATGCATTTGAATAATATTTCAGATCTGTCGGATAGCATTGACTTTAAAGGCAGTTCAGACGAAGAAGAGAATCGTCTTTGCAATACTGTCCTCATAACAGGGCCAACAGGCGTGGGAAAAACAGCCGCAGTGTACGCTTGTGCGCAGGAGCTCGGCTTCAAGGTTAGTCACAGCTACAGTGGAGCAGTGTCAATGCAGTAATTACCCTTGAATTAAAAGAGAACATAAACCATTCTGCCTTTTAAAATATATTCTTTCTGTAGATATTTGAAGTAAACGCTTCTTCTCAGCGCAGTGGAAGACAAATTCTATCTCAACTAAAGGAAGCTACTCAGTCCCATCAAGTAGACAAGCAAGGTGTAAACGCACAAAAACCTTGTTTTTTTAATAGCCACAACATAGGCAGGTCACCAAGTAAGTAAATTATTTTGTCACACCCTGTCGATAAAATAAAATCTAGGGGGAAAAATTGATAATTAGCATTTTTTATTTTATTTTTTATTTTTTTTAGAACCCTCCCCCATCACTCCCACTCATGACTTTTTTTTAATCCTCAATAAAAACATAAAAATGTATGTTTTTATTGATTTCAGAAAGAGAGGAAGGGGGAGAGAAAGAGAAACATCAGTTGGTTGCCCCCCATGCATGCCCCAACCAGGGACTGCACCACAACCTAGGTATGTGCCCTGACTTGGAATCGAACCTGCAAACTGTTGTTGTATGGGATGATGCTCCAACCAACTGAGCAACCCTGCCAGGGCCCGCCCAAACTTTTTAATTATTTATTTTTAATTTTAAAAGAGATTTTATTTATTTATCTTTAGAGAGAGGGGAAGGGAGGGAGAAAGAGGGAGAGAAACATCAGTGTGTGGTTGCCTCTCACACGCTTCTACTGGGGACCTGGCCTGCAACCCAGGTATGTGCCCTGACTGGGAATCAAACCTGCCACCTTTTGATTTGCAGGCTGGCAAATAGTCCACTGGGTCACACCAGCCAGAGCATAAATATTTTTTGTAGTTGATTTTAGAGAGAGAGGAAGGGGGAGGAATGGAGGGAGAGAGGGAGGAAGGAAGAGAGAAGCACCAATTTGTTGTTCCACTCATCCATGCATTTCTTGGTTGATGCTTAACATGTGCCCTGACCAGGGATTGAACCGGCAACCTAGAAAATGCTCTAACCCACTAAGCTATCCGGTTAGGTCTCTTTTTAATTTTTAACTGGGCTGTTCTAAAAATAAAAATAGTGTCAAGACTGTCGTAGAATTTTAATCCTAGAATTTACTTTAATAGGTATCTCTAATGGATAAGGACTTTCTAAAAAGCATAACCCGAATATCATAAGTAGACCAAATAAGATTAACTACATACCTTAATGTGATCTAATATACAGTTTAGTTTTCTAATTTTTCAAATGGTTTGTTCAAATCAGAATCCAAACATGGCCCTACATCTTACATTTGATTAGTGTCTCTTAAATTTTTTTAATCTGTTACAATTCTTTAACCCTTTTCATATCATTTAGTTCAAGAGAATGGGTCATTTGTCATAAAATTTCTCACATTCTGGATTTGGCTTGATTGTATCTTCATGGTATTAATGTATTTCTCTTCCTATATTTCTTGTAAACTGGCAATTCAATCTGTTCCTGATTAGACTCAGTTTCATTTTGTGGTAGCATACACAAAGATGGGTCTTGTGTACTTCCTGTAACATCACAGCAGGAGATACATAATGGCTGGTTATCCCACTTTCAGTGATATTAAAATTGACCAACAGGGTGGCTCAGTTGGTTGGAGTGTTGCATGCACCAAAATAGTTGCAGGTTTGATTCCCAGTCCGGGTGCGTGTATATAAAGGTGACTAATCGATGTTTCTTTCCTCTCTTCTTTCTCTTTGTCCCCCAGAGCCACTGATCTCTATCCCTCTCTCTTCCCTCCCTTCTCTCTCTCAAATCAGTAAGCATATCCATAGGCAAGGATTTAAAAAAATTGATTGATGATTTGTTTTCAGTCTAATCCATCCATTATAAAGTTCCCACATCACTCTCTTGCGTGATGGTATTTTGTAGCCATTAATGATCTTTTGTTTACTAGAATCATTATTTCATTAGGTGTTAAATAATGGTGGTTTTGTAATTCACTCAGTGTGTCTCAATTAGTTAGAATTTTAAGAAGCACTGTTCCTCAGCCACTATTTGGATACTTTGAAATACAGTGTGTGTAGGAAAGGTATGAGAAGTGCTTCATTCTTTCCTTTCACTTACCAGGTTAGCATGTTGGTGCCCTCGTAATCTCTGAATTGACCAATGAGTTTTTGTATAGTTTTGGGGGGGGCATTATTATGAACTCAGAGACTTGTATGCATTTACTGTGTATCAGTCCTTTGTGTTCATTTTTCTTTGCTGCTTTTAAGATTTCCTCTTTATTACCAGTTTTAAGCAATTGTAATATACATTGGCCTAGTTTTCTTCCTGCTTCATATGCTTGGGGGTTTGCTGGGCTTCTTGATACATTTATATATTGTAATAATGTTTGCCATTGTATCAATAATTCACACCTCTATCATATTAAATAATTATTGTTTCTTTTTAGTGGTTGGAATAATTAATTATAGCCTCTTAGGAAGTTTAATGATTGTAATACATTATTATTATATATATATTCAATACACTATGCATTAGATCTCCAGGATTTATTTACTTTCATTGTAAGCTTATACCTTGGAACATCTGTCCTATTTCTCTACCTGTGTCCCCCTGGTAAAGCACCATTTTACTCTTTTTTATGAATTTGGCTTTTTTAGATTTCATATATAAGCAACATCATATAGTACTTGTTTTTCTGTGACTTCTCATTTAGCATAATGCGCTCAAGGTCCATGCATGTTGTCATTAATGACAGGATGTGCTTTCTCATGGTTGAGTAATCTGCTAGGTGTGTATATCAGATCTTTATCCATCCATCCTTTTATGGGCAGTTAGGTTGCTTCCATATCTTGACTGTTGTGAATAGTACTGAAATAAATATGAGAGAGCATATATCTTTTTGATACCCTATTTTTGTTTTCTTTGGACATATACCCAGAATTGGGATTGCTGGATCTTATGGTGCTTTAATTTTTTTTTAAAGATTTTCATTTTGGAGAAGTGTCTATTCAAGTCCTGTGATTATGAGTATCTTAAAGTAAAAATTGGAATGTATTTTCTAACAATAATCTGGACTGATGCCAGCCCATGATCAAGCAATCCTTGATCTATGACAAAGGTAGAAAAAGACAGAGTAATGAGGGTTTTTTTAATAAATTGAAATCTGTTCAATATAAATAAACATTTTTTGTTCTAAGATTATGCATTTCAGCTCTGGCTGGTGTGGCTCAGTGGATTGAGCACTGGCCTGCAAACCAAAGGGTCGCTGGTTTGATTCCCAGTCAGGGCACACGCCTGGGTTGCAGGCCAAGTCCCCAGTAGGGGATGCATGAGAGGCAACCAACACATTGATATTTCTTTCCCTCTCTTCCTCCTTCCCTTCCCTTCTCTCTAAAAATAAATAAATAAAATCTTTAAAAATAGTAAAAATAAAAATTATGCATTTCTTTCCTTGTGGTGTTAAAATGTCCTGTTTTTATGAAATTATGATGGCTGATAATTTTTTCAAACTCAAAGTTTTTGAAACCCTGTAATATCCAAGAGATATGATAAAATCTGTGGAGATAGGGGGTTCAAAAAAGAATAGGACGCAGTTGTGGAAGTGTATCCATATGACAGAACGTGCAGAAGATTCTGTTGCGAGGCCATGTGATAGTGAATAGGGCGTGTAAGGACTGCATCAGGGGCCTTACATGGAAGAAAAGTATATGTTCTAGAATAAAGGCCTGGAGTTTTCAGCTTCTGAGGGGGAGGGATTACCCATTATTTTTAAACTTTGTGTCCATTCTCCATAGCATCTCTAGAAAAACACATTCTGTGTTTGCAATATTATTGTATTACAGTGTTAGGCAGAAGTCGGCCAACAAAATTCTGTAACATGCTCAGTATGTACTGTTAACACTTTTTCTCCAGGCTTTTCTGAGCTCACATAGGTATAGAGAAAGAGAATGGAGAGATTATGAATATTATTTGCTTCAAGAATGTATATTTCTTTGAAAAAGAGTGTCTTTTCCAAATGACTAATTTTACCTTCTCTACTGATAGACTAAAAATACAGTAATATTTGACTATTGAGTATTTGAATGTAAAATGAAAGAAAATTTCTACATCTGTGATTTATAACTGGTAAGAATAGAAATATAAACTGTAGATAACTCCATCTTTACTATTTATTTAATTTTTAGAATATTTTTTAAGTGTAATTTGTTTTTGGCAGAAAAATTCAGTTCCCCTAAGAAAGTTATTACATCACCAAGGAAGCTTCCTCCACCATCACTACAAAGTACTGGAGCAAAGCGAGCACTTCCACCCAAAACTTTAGCAAATTATTTTAAAGTGTCTTCCAAGACGAAAACTAGTGAAGAAATAGGAGAACTTCTGGAAAGTAATAAAGGTAAGACATTAAATTGACAAAGTAATTCTAACATTTTTAATACTAATGACCCCGATACATAAAAATATGATCTTATTCCATGAATTCCTATTGCTATTTATTAAACTTCAGCTATGCTGAAGGTCTTTCATAAAGAACTTTTGCTATTTTGTTTCAGTTTTGCTAGAGGATGTCAGTTTGAGCTTATTCTGTGGAAATATCCAGTGTTCTGTTAGAAGTTAATTTTGTGTAAAATATTAATATTTTATTTATGCAGGAATCAAAAATTTTTTTGAACAGAAGCAAATTATTCAGACTAAATCTACAAACGCAACTAATTCAAATGCGAAAGACTATGGAGCCGAGGAGCCCAACCGGAAAAATGCAACATCTCTCATTCTTTTTGAGGAGGTAGGCAGTAGGCTTACAGAGGTATACATTCCTGATGTCTCATAATAAAAACTTACTCTAAAGATTACGGTATATGTTACTATAAATTACTGTAAGGTAACCAAGAAAATCAGGAATACTTACTTGGATCTATTTGAAGTTAAAGCAAATGAAACTGTCAGCCATAGAAGAATTATTCATAAAGATGATTAATGATACCCAGGGTTACTAATTTTTTTCAATATTTTTATTTTGAGTCATACTTACCCAGTGATAGGTGACTGCATTTCTTTGGTTTTAATGTTTGATTATTTTTTTTTACTCTTTTAATGTTGTAAGACATTGGAAGATTTTGGCATGGGTTGAATTCACACCATTCATAAATTCAGATATTTTGTCTCTTAACAGACATATAATATATCTACTAAGTATACGTAATGGCTATCCAGTAAGTATATTTTTACTGAGTACATTTATGTTTTTCTTAGGTTGATGTCATTTTTGAAGAAGACGCTGGGTTTTTGAATGCAATCAAAACATTCATGGCGACAACTAAAAGACCTGTAATTCTTACTACAAGTGGTAGGTAGCAGTGGTTTTACAACTAATTACTTTTGATGAAAATATTTCAGAAAAGCTGATTTTAGTTAGAAATGTTCCTTTGATAGTCTGCTAGTAAATTAAATCCTTTTTTCTAAAATGAGGAGGGTTCTAGATCATTTTTTAAACTAAGAATTATCTACATTTACAGTTGATTGGAAGCCTTGAGCAATTATAAAATTAATATAATGCCTTGCACCCTGACCAGTGTGTATCAGTTCGTTGCACGTCGTTCTCCAAAGCGAAAGGTCACTAGTCTGATTGTGCTCAGGATACATCCCTGGGTTGTGGGTTCAGTCCTTGGTTGGGTCGCATATGAGAGGCAACTAATCAATGTTTCTTTCCCTCACTTTCCCTCTCCCTTCCTCTCTCTCTAAAAATAAATAAAATGTTTAAATATATATGTGTATATATATATGTATGTATGTCTATGGATATGTATATATAAATACCTTGCAAATAGTGATTACTTAAAAAATGGGTACTACTTTGAATCACTTTGTTGAGTGTTAGATACTTAGGTATCTGACAATAGCCTAGAATATAGATATAAAGATATATGAATTAGTGAGTGAAGAGGTTTTGGAAGGGAAAATAAAAGATTCTTCTCTTGACTCTTCCTCATACTATAATTAGATCATTGTGCCTTATTTATTGGTCAAAATATTTTATGGAACCCAATCTGTCTGCAGTTCCTTAATACTGAATTTAGCCATTTCTTTTTTTTTTAATTTTTTTATTGATTATGCTGTTACAGTTGTTCTATTCCCCCTTTCATTCCCCTCCACCCTACTCCCCCATCCCCACCATTACCCCCCCTTTAGTTTATGACCATGTGTCTCAAGTCCTTTAGATTCTATATTTCCCATGCTATTCTTGCCCCCCCCCTTCTATTTTCTATCTACTGTCTATGCTATTTATTTTCTATACCTTCTCCCCTCTTCTCCTCCTCCCACTCCCCTGTTGCTAACCCTCCATGAGATCTTCATTTCTATGTTTCCACTCCTGATCTAGCTGTCCTTTTAGTTTGCTTTCGTTTTAGGTGTGGTTGTTAATAGATTTGAGTCCCAGTTTCCTTTTCATTGCTATTGGTGCCCTTTGCAATTCCATTCATTTCAATTAGTTTCGCCTTCATATATTTGTCTAATTTGTGGCTATAATCAACCAGTTCTGTGAGGATCCTGATCACCAGTGTTTTAAACTGTGCGTCTGAGAGTTTTGCTATTTCTTCATTGCTTAGATCTATAGGCTCTGGGGCTTTAAGATCTTCCTGTGACATTTTTGGTCTGTTCCTGCTCTTTAAGTGTGAGAAGCGTCGCCTTGGACTCCCAGGTCTCTGGGTTGTGACGCTGTATGTGGGGGCGTGGTCAGAGCGGGGAAATGGTGATCCCCTCTGCTGTTTCTTACAGCTGGGTGAGGAGCAGCGCCTTAGGTGGTTCCCCTGGGCCGGGCCACTCACAGTCTCTGGGTTATGACGCTGTATGTGGAGGTGGGGTCAGAGCAGGGAAATGGCGGCGCCCTCCACTACCGCTTGCCGCGGGGACCCGCCGGCCCGGTCCAGCTGCCCACTCCCTCGCCTGTCCACCTGCGCACAAATGCGCGACCACAGTCAACACGCAGCACCGCTCCTCCGCTGCCTCCCCCGCGGTCGCTCGCCTGGTTACTCTCTGGGTTGCTCACTAGGTCCATCCCTGCGCCTGGATTCCGCGTGTCTGGATTCCGCGGCCTGAGTCCGTCTGACCGAGTCCTCCTGTGCAACCCCGCTTCACCAGCCGCTCGTTTCGCCCCTTACCGGTCAGGCTGAAGAATTTGTTGTTAACGGACTTTCAAAAAGTTCAATTTTCCGTGTTCTGGCTGTGTTTTCTGTTGCTAATATTTAGTTGTCTCTAAACTTGGTTGTGTGAGAAGGCACGGCACATCCACCTATGCCTCCATCTTGGCGGAAGTCTCCTGAATTTAGCCATTTCTTAATTTCTGATAACACACCTCCCTGATAATATGGAGTTTTGCAGATTTTAGCTAAAGTAAACCATCATCACATGGACAAAGTCAGTCCACCTTCTTAATCATAAGCATTCAAGGTTGAATTTTAAAACTTACAATACATTAGTATAATTCAGTGTATTGTATTATTGTTTCCTAGCCCTGGTTGCGTGGCTTGGTTGCAGGTTCAGTTTCCAGTCAGGGCATATACCTTGGTTGCCTGTTCCATCCATGTTGGGACGTGTATGGTTAGGCAACCTATCAGTGTTTCTCCCTCACATAGATGTTTCCCTCTCCCAATCTTTGTCTGTCTGTCTGTCTCTCTTCCTTTCTTTTCCCCCCATTCCCCTCTCCCTTCTTCTCTCTTTAATCAATAAAACATATCCTCTTGTGAGAATTTAAATTTTTTTTAATTGTTTAATATTTTTCATTGTAAATATTTAGTATAATATTTCTGATATGGATTACTCTAGGAAAATATGTCTATGTTAGACTCCATTTACAAATTAATGGCCCATTTGAAAATTAATGATTATAATATAAAAATATTGATAGGGCACTGGTTGAGTAGCTCAGTTATTTGGAGTGCTGTCCCCAAACTCTTAAGTTTGTGGGTTCAATCCCTGGTCAGGGCACATATGAGAAGCAACCAGTGAATGCATAAATAAATGGAAAAACAAATTGATATTTCTTTTTGTTTTTCTCCATCCCTCTCTCTAAAAACCAATTTAAAAAAAGAATTTGTTTTTAAAACAATTTAAAAAATAAAAATATCGATAAAAATCATAGTAATCACAAGTTAAATGGTTGTTTACTTAAAAGAGCATAGCTGCGTTAGGTCAAGATAGAAAGTCCATTTTTATTGAATAGTTCCATGATATTTGTTTTATTACTTATGAAATACAGAATGTTTTTATAGAAAAAGTGATTTATTGGTCACCATGTGTTAAAATTTTTTTTTCTATAGATCCAGCATTTAGTTTAATGTTTGACGGCTGCTTTGAAGAAATTAATTTCAATACTCCTCCTGTGGTAAGTTTTGAATTTTGACAATCATAAATTATATATGATAATTATATGAAAACCTGGTTTACTGTGATAGTTATAATTTTAAAATGTGGTCACTAAGAATATGTTCAACTTTTTTAAGGAAACTTCTGGTTATTGTTTTTTATTTAAAAATAATTACCAACATTCAACTATTCAAATTTTTACTAGATTCTAATGTTCATTGTTTTTTATAGTAAGAGTACTTTATTGAAGTTAAACTTACATAGTTAAAATGCCCTTAAGTATACAATTTGGTAAGTATTGACATATGTAAACCTTCATGTAACCATCACACAGATCAAAGTATAGAACATTTCCTTTGCATCCAAAATTTCCCATGAGCCCTTTTTTAAAAAGTCAACATTCCCCTCACCAGAAATAACCACTATTCTAATGTTTATTAACTTTAGTAGTAGTTTTTTTATTATGAAATTTTAAATAATGAGAAACATTATGTATCCTTTTACTTAACATTATGATTTTTAGATTTATCCAGGCTATTCTGTAAGTGGAATGTTGAGTCATCTGCATTATGTTATTTGTTTTAACTTTTAAAGAATCTGCCAAATCTCCAATGTATGAGAATTCAAGTAATTTATATACAGTAAAATTCACCCACTTTAAGTGTATGGCTCAATGAATTTTGACAAACGTAGATATAGAACATGTCTATCAAGAACAGAATACTGACTTCCGGCCAAGATGGAGGCGTAAGTGGAAACACTGTGCCTCCTCACACAACCAAGTTTAAAGACAACAAAGTTTTAGTAGCAAAAACGCAACCAAAACACAGAAAATTGAACTGTACGGAAGTCCAACAACAACAAACCATTCAGCCTGACTGGTAAGAGGGGTGGAGCCAGCGGCTGGTGGAGTGGGGTCGGGCAGGAAAGATCTGCTGGACCAACCCAGGTGCGCAGGTGGTAGTTGGTGGATCCCAGGTGCGGGGTGGTAACGGGCAGACCTAGTGAGAACACAAGGTGGCAGGCTGACTGCGGTCACACATTCACACGCAGATAAACCAAGTGAAGGAGCAAGCAGTGAGGCAGCACAAACCAGGGCTCCAGTACCGGGAAATAAAGCCTAAAAGCACCAATTGGAAAAACTTTCAGAGTCAAGGTGCCGGGAGAAGCTTCCAGGCTCACTGAGAGTTCGTTGGAGAGACCCACAGGGTCCTGGAGGGTGCACAAGCCCATACACCCGGAACCAGTACCAGAAGGGCCCAATTTGCTTGTGGGAAGCAGCAGAGGGAACCGAGATCCAAGAGAGAGCAGAGCAAATGCCATTACCCTTCTCTGACCCCGCCCCCACATACAGCATCACAAGCCAGTGACTTGGGTTGACCTGCCCTGGTGAACACCTAAGGCTCCTCTCCTCAAACATAACAGGCGGGAACAGACCAAAACATCATGGCTCAAGAAGAACAGCTCAAAGCCCCAGAGCCAATACATCCGAGCCACCAAAAGATAACCAACCTATCAGATGCACAGTTCAAAACACTGGTGATCAGGATGCTCACAGAACTGGTTGATCTTAGTCACAAATTAGAGGAACAAATGAAGGCTAAACTAATTGAAATGAAGGGAAATGCACAGGAAACCAATAGTGATGGAAAGGAAACTGGGACTCAAATCAAGGGAGTAGACCAGAAGGAAGAAAAAAACGACCAAACAAAAACATGAAGACACAAGAATTGAAAAAAAATGAGGAGAGGCTTAGGAACCTCCAGGACATCTATAAACATTCCAACATCTGAATTATAAGGGTACCAGAAGGGGAAGAGGAACAGCCACGAGTGGAAAACTTACTGGAACAAGTAATAAAAGAGAATTTCCCCAATCTGGCAAAGGAAATAGACTTCCAGGAAATCCAGGAAGCTCAGAGAGTCCCAAAGAAGTTGGACCCAAGAAGGAACACACCAAGGCACATCATCATTACATTAGCCAAGATTAAAATGAAGGAGAGAATCCTAGAAGCAGCAAGAGATAAGGGGACAGTCACCTACAAAGGAGTTCCCATCAGACTGTCAGCGGATTTCTCAAAAGAGACCTTACAGGCAAGAAGGGGCAAGAAGGGGCTGGAAAGAAGTATTCCCAGTCATGAAATCCAAAGACCTACATCCAACATTGCTCTATGCAGCAAAGCTTTCATTTAGAATGGAAGGGCAGATAAAGTGCTTCTCAGATAAGATCAAATTCAAGGAGTTCATCATCACCAAGCCCTTATTATATGAAATGTTAAAGGGACTTACCTAAGAAAAAGAAGATAAAAAAGATGGAACAGTGAAAGGACAGCAAACTCACAGTTATCAACAACCACACCTAAAACAAGAGCAAACTAAGCAAACAGGTAGATAAGGAGGGAACTGTAGAAATGGAGATCACATGGAGGGTTAGCAACAGGGGAGTGGGAGAGGGAGAAGAGGGGAGAAGGTACAGAAAATAAGTAGCATAGATGGTAGGTAGAAAATAGGGGGGAGGGCAAGAATAGTATGGGAAATACAGAATCTAAAGAACTTGTGACACATGGATATAAACTAAAGGGGGCAATGTGGGGGAGGGGTGTGCAGGGTGGAGGGGAATGAAGGGGGAAGAAATGGGACAACTGTAATGGCATACTCAATAAAATATATTCTTTTTTTTTTTTTAAGATTTTATTTATTTATCTTTAGAGGGGAAGGGGGGAAGGAGAGAGGGAGAGAAACATCAATGTATGGTTGCCATTTGTGCGTCCCCTGCTGGGAACTGGCCTGCAGGGAACCGGCCTGCAACCCAGGCATGTGCCCTATCTGGGAATTGAACCACAATCGTGTGGTTCGCAGGCCCACGCTCAGTCCACTGAGCTACACCAGCCAGGGCAAAATATATTCTTAAAAAAAGAACAGAATACTGTTTCCCTGGCCATTGTGGATGTGTGGCTCAGTGGATTGAGTGCCGCCTATAAACCAAAGGGTCACCAGTTCAATTCCCAGTTAGGGCACATGCTTGGGTAAGGGCCAGCAAAAGGCGACCACACATTGATGTTTCTCTCCCTCCCTTCCCCTCTAAAATAAATTTTAAAAAGAACAATATTATCATACCTCAGTACTCATCGGCTTCAAAACTAGTCAAACCCTGTACTCACTGCATTTTGACAAGAAAAAAAATGATGTTTCAGCACTTGGCACTTGATCAGGACTCATGACACTTGCATGAGTCATGCCATGGGAAGAAGGAGGAGAAACTAATTGAAGAACATGTGTGAATGACTCACGGACAACATGTGGTGTTGACTGTGGGAGTCAGGTATGGGATGGGCAGAGGAGGGCAAAAGGGGAAAAATTAGGACACCTGCAACAGAATAACGAAAAAATCTTGAAAGAAAGAGAAAATGCTTCATCCTTTGGTACTCATCGGTTTCAGCATTTGTCATGAGTTCTGGAAAGAATTAATGATGAGTCACGAGGTACCACTGTATTTTCATTATCTCAGAAAGTTCCCTCGTGACCCAATGTATTTTTCTGTCACTATCATTTTGCCCACAGAATTTCATGTAAATAGAATCTTAGGTATTTTTTGTTCAGTTTCTTTTTTAAAATTTATTTATTTTTAGAGAGAGAAGGAGGGAGGAGGAGGGGAAGAGAAAGAGAGAAACATCAATTTGTTGTTCCACCTAATTATGGTGTCATTAGTATGTTCTTCTTATGTGCCCTGACCTAGGATCGAATCCACAACCTTGGTGTGTTGGGATGACACTCTAACCAACTGAGCTACCTGGCCAGGGCTTCTAGTTTCTTTTACAGAACATAATGCTTTTTCAGATTCATTCACGTTGCCTATGCCAGTAGTTCTTTCCTTTTGATTAATGAGCAATATTCTATTGTATGGATATACTTCACATATATGAATATGTGTTGTCATAGTCACCTGTTGATAGATATTTGGGTTGTTTCCAGGTAAACTACTGTTAAGTAAAGTTGCTAAATACATATTTATGTAAAAGCTGAATGATTATGTTAAAGTCCTTGGGCATTTGTTTCCATTTCTTTTCCTTAAATTCTTAAAAGGTGGAATTGTTGGTCCAATTAACACAAGAGCCTAGCAGACTGTTTTCTAATGATTTACATTCCTGCCAGCAATGTAAGGGCATACAGTTGTTTTTTACATACTCAACAGAAGTTGGAATTATCTATGTTTTTTATATTATCCATATTAATAATTATGTGTTGGTTTCTCATGGCTTTAATTTGCATTTCCTTAATGACATGATGTTGAGCATCTTTTCATGTGTCCATTTGTCATTCAGATCTCTGATGGAGTATCTGTTCAACTCTTTGCCTATTCTTTACATCAGTTGTTTGTCTTACAGACTTTTTATATTCTGGACATAAGTTTGCATTGGATATTTGTTTTGTAAATATTTTCTCCCAGTTTGTGGCCTACATTTTCTTTTCTTTTCTTTTCTTTTTTTTTAAAGAGTGGAAATCTTTAATTTTAATCAAGTCCAGTTTACCAAGTTATTTTTTTAGCGATTCATGGGCTTTGTATACTATTTGAGAAATCCTTACCACACACAAGCTTACAAAGATTGGTTTTAGAAGTTTTATAGTTCTGACATGTAGCTCTTTGATCTATTTAGAGGAAAATTTTGTGTGCAATATGAAATGGAAGAGTCATTTGTTTTCCCAATAGATATCCAGTTGTTTCGGCACTGCTTGTTGAAAAGACAACCTTTTTTTCCAGTTTGTCATAATCAATAGACTGTGTGTGAGTCCATTCTGCTCTGTTTACCCATGTGGAAACATGATGTTGTCTTGATTACTGTAGCTCTTCAACAGATCTTGAAATCAAGGGGTGTAAGTTCTCCAACTGTATGCTTTTGCAAAATTGTTTTGGCTATCATGTCATTAATTTCTCTTAATTTTAGAAACAGTTTGCCAATTTTTGTAGTTTATTTTGGTGTTTTGATGGAGATTGGCATTCAATCTACAGATCAATTTCAGGAGAACTTACAGTTTTACAATATTGAGTTTTCTGCTTCAAGAACAGTTTATTTTTTAGGAGACCAGTTTAATTATTTCAGCAATGTTTTATAATTTTCATTGTACATACCTTGCACATATTTTGTTAAATTTTGTTCTAAATATTTAATGTTTTTTGATGTTATTGTAAGTTACATTTTAAGATTTCAATTTCAGTTGTCTATTGCTGCTATATAGAAATAAATTGAGATCTGGCTGGTGTGGCTCAGTGGATTGAGAGCTGACCTGCAAATCGAAAGATTACCAGTTCAATTCCCAGTCGAGTCATATGCCTAGATTGTGAACCAGATCCCCAGTTTGGGGCATGTGAGAGGCAAGCAATGGATATAGCGTTGCACATTGATGTTTCTCTCCCTCTCACCCTCTATTTCCCTCTCTCTAAAAATAAATAAATAAAATGTTTTTAAAATGTAATAAAAAACAAATTGATTTTATAGCCTATTATCTTTCTAAAATAGTTTATTCTAGTAGTAGATTCTTAGAATTTTTTATTATCACTACTTTTTTATTTCTTTCAAATCTGTACTTTAATTTTTATTTTATTTTATTTTTTTTAGATTTTATTTATTTATTTCTAGAGAGAAGGGAAGGAGAGAGAGAGGGAGAGAAACATCAATGTATGGTTGCCTTTTGCACAGCCCCTACCGGGGACCTGGCCTGCAACCCACACAGGTGCCCTGACTGGGAAATGAACCCACAATCCTTTGGTTTGCAGTCCGGCACTCAATCCACTGAGTCACACTAGCTAGGGCTGTACCTTAATTTCTTTTTGCCATATTGCAGTGGTTAGTGCCGTTGTACCTTCAATACACTGTTTAGTAGAAGTTAGAGTGGACATCTTTGCCTTGTTCCTGATATTGGTTGTGTATTTTCATAGATGCTCTTTATCAGTTAGATGAGAATTTCTATCATGAATAGTATTGAATTTTGTCAAATACTTTTCTTGATCTTTTGATTCAATCATGTAGTTTATCTTTTTAAATTCTACTATCATGGTGAATGATGCTGGTTGATTTTTGAATGTCACACTAGTCTTGTATTCCTGGGATAGTATGGCCATGATGTGTTACTGACTTTACATATTTCTGAATTTCATTTGCTCATGTTCTGTTATGGATTTTTGTGTCTACACACAAGGATTTTGGTGTGTAGTTTTCAGGCCATGTGAGCTGGATTGGGTCATAGTTTTTGTAGTTTTCTTAAAGAAAAAATATGCATGTTCAGCATTTCATAGTGTATTTAGCATTAATATTATAGAGAATATTTAGCATTAATTTATAGAGAATCTAAACACCTTGCAAAAGTATAAGTCTATTTACCATCCTTCTTTTACAGTTTGGTTTTCAAGTACTTTACATTTATATATATTGTAAATTCCCAAATATAATTCTTGGATTTATTGTTTTAGCCAGTCATGTGTTTAAAGAAACTACAGGGGTAAAAAGTTAGCTTTTACATTTACCCATACACTATCATTTCTGGTGTTCTTCATGCCTTGCCAAAGACCCAAGTTTTCTTTAGTTTTCTCTTCAGATTTAAGCACTTTATTAGCAACTCTTATAGAGCAGGTCTGTTGGCATTAGATATATATTAGGTTTCATTTAGCTGAAAATGTCTTTATTTTTAACTCATTCTCAAAGGATATTTTCCCTAGATATAGAAATCTGGGTTCTTCATTTTTCCTTGAGTCCTTGAAAGGTGTCATTCCATTGTCTTCTGTCATCATTGTTTCTGGTTGTGAGTCAGTAATGTATTCTTTCTTTCTTCCGGGGGATGTGGTGGCTCATATGTAATGTCATTTTTTTTTTTCCGGATGCCTTTAACTCTACTTTTCATACTACCTGTTATGTACCTACATTTTATATTTTTCATGTTTTTTCTGCTTGTGGTTCTTAGATATCAATAATCCTTAAATATATACTGTTTCTCTTACTAGGGACATTTATACATATTTTTTCAAATTTATTTTATGCCCATTTTGACTCTTTTTTCATCCTGGGAATTTAATTACAGGTATTAGACATTTTACATCTTCTCACATGTCACTGAGGCATACTCTTATCCCTTTCCCAGTTTTTCTTATTGCACTTCTGATATGATCATTTGTATTGATTTATCTTCAAGTTTATAAGCACTTTTTTCCCTGCCACTTTCATTCTTCCATGAGGCTCATCCAGTAAAATTTTTATTCTGATGGTGTGGTTCTTAGTTGTATAATTTCTGTTTGCTTCTTCTTTATAGTTTCTGTTTTTCTCTGAGATTCCCTATTTGTTTGTTCTTTATGACCATGTTTTCCTTCACATAGTTTTACTAGCTGTTTTGTTTAAAATTTTTTGTTATTCATTGATTTTAGATAAAAAGTGGAAGGTGGGGGAGAAGAGAGACATCAATTTGTTGTTTGACTTATTTATGCATTCATTGGTAGTCCTTTTATGTGCTCTGACTGGGGATTGAACCCTTGGGCTTGGTGTATATGGAAGGATGCTCTGACCAACTGAACTACCCGGCCAGGGCTACTAGCTGTCCTGAAAGGGGGTGAGGGATTATTCTTTTCTCCAAGTGTTGACTTCCCTTTGGTTTTCCTCTGCCTTTGATTACTCTCTTGTGCTTTCAGGTAGTTGGGTTTTTTGAGTTGATTATAGAGTTCATAGTTATTTTTAATAACAGGGTTTGTCTGATAGTAGGTACTCCCTTGATATTGAAAGCAGAATTGCATTTTTGTGGACAGCAAAAGTCTCAGAAGAGTCCAGTCATAATGTGTGTGTATATACTATGTATATACATAATGTGTGCCAAAGGTTTCAAAGCAGAACGTTTTTTAATTCTTATTGACTATAAAGTAAAAATGCTAGTAGTCCTATAAAATCTGTGAAATGTAAATACAATTTGTTTTAGCTTTTCAAGGCAAAAAGCTTTCCGTAAACATTGATGGGAAAATAATTGTATATGTTTTGCTGTTTTATAAAAAATATTAAAACAATATTAATTTGTAACAGTAAATGAATAATTTTACTTAGTCCATTTACCCCAACAAATCACTTGTTTTTCAATTTTTTGTTTTTCTTGTTTACCTACTCATATGCTTTTATTACTGCATTGATACAGTTCTCCAACTCTGGTTTTGAAAATTATATAATAACATTTTCAGTATTATTACAGTATTTATAGTAATAATTTTAATGGTGGTAAAATATTACATCAAAGTGTACCATTATTTAATCCTAAGGGATATTCTCAAGGTTTAATAAAATTATCTCCAGGGTTCAGATCTGAGGATCTTCATAAAAGTTGCCTTGCTGTTTTAGATATACACAGTGAATAAAATAAGTATATTGCTTTTAATATTTTTCTTTATATTTTTGCAGCTCGGTTTCATTCTCAGTAAATGCTTAAGATGTGAATTTTAGCAAAAATTTTTTAGACACGTATTATAGATGTATTTCTATTAACTCTATAATTGACCATGTTTCTCTCCTCTCCCTCTTTTTTCCGCAGCTAAATGTTGCCAGCTATCTACAGATGATCTGCTTAACTGAGAATTTTAGAACTGATGTGAAAGACTTTGTAACGTTATTAACTGCAAATACATGTGATATTAGGAAAAGCATCCTTTACTTACAATTTTGGATTAAAAGTGGAGGTGGACTTTTAGAAGAAAGGCCATTATCCCTTTCTCGTAAGTGATCCATTATAACAGATTTTTCTCTGATGGGACTCATTGTTAAAATATATACTATATCAAATATTTAAAAGATTATAATAATTTTTGAGCATCCATGTATTACATTAATCTTAAAAATAAACATACAGCCCTGGCTCATGTAGCTCAGTGGATTGAGCACAGGCTGCGAGCCAAAGGGTCACCAGTTTGATTCCCAGTCAGGGCACATGCCTGGGTTGCAGGCCAGGTCCCCAGTGGGGACCACGTGGGAGTCAACCACATATTGATGTTTCTGTCTCTCTTTCTCCCTCCCTTCCCCTCTGTCTAAAAATAAATAAAATATTTTGAATATATAAAATTAAAAAAAATACATATGTCACTTTTGTTGTTGAAAAGCTTTATAAACATTACGTGTAAGTTAATAGAATTAAAGTGAACCTAGAACAAATTGTTACTTATACATTTATAAATATATAGTTTCTTATGAACAAATAGAATCCTATTATTTAGCAACTTCTTTTATCACTATTTAAAAGAATTGGTGATTTTCCCACATATAAATTATTTTTATGTGATTGCATTGTAAGGTCCCTGTTAGGTTCCTCAGTAGTTTATACTTCAGTTTTTCCTGAGAACCTTATCATTCAGAAATGCTTTGTTTTATGATTGATCTTCAGTCATCATTACCTAATTCAAGTCACAGACATTTATTGAGGACTTTCTCTGTGCCGGGTCCTGTGTTGACATAAATAAGACAAGGTTCCTTCCCTGAAGAAGTTCTAGTTCTTCTCCATGCGGTTTCCATGCTCCATTGTCACAGTTCTGTAGGCACAGATCCTGCTCGGGGCAATACACAAATATTTAAACACAGTCAAAGTGAAGTTCTGTAGTATTAATCCCATATCGGTTTTTTCTTTAATTAGTTCAAAATTTTAATATATTGTCCTGGCTGGTGTAGCTCAGTGGATTGAGCGTGGGCCTGCGAATCAAACAACCGTGGTTCGATTCCCAGTCAGGGCACATGCCTGGGTTGCATGCCAGTTCCCAGCAGGGGAGGCACGAGAGGCAACCATACATTAATATTTCTCTCCCTCTCTCTTTCCCTTCCCCTCTAAAGATAAAGAAATAAAATCTTTAAAAATTTTTTTTAAACTTTGTTTTTTTTAAAGATTTTATTTATTTATCTTTAGAGGGGAAGGGAAGGAGAGAGGGAGAGAAACATCAATGTATGGTTGCCTTTCGTGCGTCCCCTGCTGGGAACTGGCCTGCAGGCCGCAACCCTGGCATGTGCCCTGACTGGGAATCGAACCGCGATTGTCTGGTTCGCAGGCCCGCGCTCAATCCACTGAGCTATACCAGCCAGGGCTAAAAAATTTTTTAAAATATATTCTTTTTCAATGTAGACTAGCATGTAATTCAACTTAAGCTGGTTGCTTTTACTATTTCTTGGAAGAAAATATTAAAAATAAGATATGAGCCCTGGCTGGTGTGACTCAGTAGTTTGGGGGTTGTCCTACAACCAGAAAGTCACTGGTTTGATTCCCAATCAGCGCACAAACCCGGGTTGCAGGCCAGGTCCCTGGCTGCAGGTCTGTAAGAGGCAACCGATTGATATTTCCCTCCCTTTCTTTCTTTCTCCCTCCCTCCCACTCTTCCTAAAAATAAATAATATATTTAAAAATAAATTAACTAAAAAAAATTTTTTTAAACATGAAAAATAACCTGGTAATAGTTAATAACTATCACCGTGCTACTGGATATAAAACACTATATACTAAGACTTTAGAAGACACGAACTATGTATGGCTTTTTTTTTTTTTTTTAAGATTTTATTTATTTATCTTTAGAGGGGAAGAGAAGGAGAGAAATATCAACGTATGGTTGCCTTTTGTGTGTCCCCTGCTGGGAACTGGTCTGCAACCCAGGCATGTGCCCTGACTGGGAATCGAACCGTGGTTGTTTGGTTCCCAGGCCCGTGCTCAATCCACTGAGCTACACCAGCCAGGGCCTTGTATGGCATTTTTTTTCCTTGATGACCTTTTATGTTTTGTTTCTTTCTATAAAGAAAAGAAACACTCATTGGGAATTCAAACAGTACAGAAATATGTAAAGTAAAAAATAAAGGATCTTCCTCACTTCTTCAGTGTAGCCACTGTTACACCTTTATGCATATACAAATTTTGCTGCCTACCTATTTAGCAAAATTAACTAATACTATATATATTGTTAAACTACATGATTGATTCACTTGAAAATTTGTCACTACTTACAGTTCTACCATACTCTTTCACAGCTGCATGCTATTGCATAATTGATTGGATATAAGAATTTAATTAACCATCTATTTGGAGACATTTAAGTTATCTTCAGTTAGTCATTAAAGCCTGCAGTGAATATCTTCATACATATACCCTTGAGCATGTCTGTGAGGACTTCTGTTGGAGGGAATTCTAGGAGTGCTGAGCAACTGCTATACATTTTACATTTGTGTAAGTCTGTGTGCCCACAAAGAGTATATGATGGCTCTTTTATGTGTGCCTTTGACAAACTAGATTATCAGTCACATCAACTTGGCAATTTATTTTTTATTTTTGATTATGCCATTACAGTTGTTCTATTCCCCCCCTTTATTCCCCTCCCCCACCATTCTCCCCTTTAGTTTATGACCACATGTCTCAAGTTCTTTAGATTCTATATTTCCCATATTATTCTCGCCCTCCCCCCTATCTATTTTCTAGCTACAATCTATGCTACTTATTTTCTGTACCTTCTCACCCCTTCTCCTCCTCCCACTCCCCTGTTGCTAATCCTCCATGTGATCTTCATTTTATGGTTCTGCTCCTGATCTAGCTGTCCTCTTAGTTTGCTCTTGTTGTAGGTGTGGTTGTTAATAACTGTGAATTTCCTGTCCTTTCACTGTTCATCTTTTTTATCTCCTTTTTCTTAGGTAAGTCCCTTTAACATTTCATATAATAAGGGCTTGGTGATGATGAATTCCTTGAATTTGATCTTATCTGAGAAGCACTTTATCTGTCCTTCCATTCTAAATGAAAGCTTTGCTGGATAGAGCAATGTTGCATGTAGGTCTTTGGGTTTCATGACTGGGAATACTTCTTTCCAGCCCCTTCTTGCCTGCAAGGTCTCTTTTGAGAAATCCACTGACAGTCTGATGGGGACTCCTTTGTAGGTGACTGTCCCCTTATCTCTTGCTGCTTCTAGGATTCTCTCCTTCATTTTAATCTTGGCTAATGTAATGATGATGGCCTTAGTGTGTTTCTTCTTGGGTCCAACTTCTTTGGGACTCTCTGAGCTTCCTGGATTTCCTGGAAGTCTATTTCCTTTGCCAGATTGGGGAAATTCTCTTTTATTACTTGTTCCAGTAAGTTTTCCACTCGTGGCTGTTCCTCTTCCCCTTCTGGTACCCTTATAATTCAGATGTTGGAATGTTTAAAGATGTCCTGGAAGTTCTTAAGTCTCTCCTCATTTTTTTGAATTCTTGTTTCTTCATCCTTTTCTGTTTGGTCATTTTTTTCCTTTTCCTGGTCTACTCCCTTGATTTGAGTCCCAGGTTCCTTTCCATTACTGTTGGTTTCCTGTGCATTGCCATTCATTTCAATTAGTTTAGCCTTCATATGTTCCTCTAATTTGTGACTAAAATCAACCAGTTTTGTGAGCATCCTGATCACCAGTGTTTTGAACTGTGCATCTGAAAGTTTGGCTATTTGAAAGTTTGGCTTAGAGTTATGGGCTCTGGGGCTTTGAGTTTTTCTTGAGCCATGTTTTGATCTGTTCGCGCCCGTTATGTCTGAGGAGTGGAGCCTTAGGTGTTCACCAGGGTAGGGCTACCCAGGTCTCTGGGTTGTGACGCTGTATGTCGGGGGCGGGGTCCAAGGGGGGCAATGGCAGTCCCCTATGCTGCTTCCTGCTGCTGGGGCCTGCATGGTCTGCCTCACTGCTCGCTCCTTCGCCGGTTTATCTGCACATGAATGCGTGACCGCGGTCAGCCTGCTGCCTTGGCACCCTCAATGGGTCCACCTGCTGCCACTCCACACCTGGGATCCACCCAAGGCTGCCTGCCCTCCTGGGTTTTGTGCCCAGGGCGGTCCGGTGGATCTTTCCTGCCTGACCCTGCTCCGCTGCTAGATTTGCCCCTCTTACTGCCTGGCTGAAAGGTTTGTTGTTGTCAGACTTCGGTATAGTTCAGTTTTCTGTGGTTTGTCTACGTTTTTGTTGCTAAAACTTTGTTGTTTTTAAACTTGGTTGTGTGAGAAGGTACAGTGTTTCCACCTACGCCTCCATCTTGGCGGAAGTCCTCCCAATTTGCCAATATAAAAGGTGAAAAAATGAACATCTTAATTTGCATTTCTATGATCACTGGGGAATTTTCACAAGTTTTTTAGATATTTGTATTTCCTCTGTGATTTGTCTATTTATAGTCCTTGAACAAATTGTTACTTACACATTTGTAAACATAGAAACTCTTAATTTTACTAAGTGACCTGCTATTTCAAAATCATTGTAAGCTTTGAATTCTTGCCCTTTTTCTGTTGGCTTGTTTTGTAAGCCCATCACCACCACCTCACTTAACCTCTGCATGCTAGAGATGACGTTTGTAGTGTGTGCTCTATGAATTAAGTACATAAGTGGGGAAAACAAAATGGGGGCATGGGATCAGAGGATGCCCAAGGATCTTAGTATCTAAATAAGTGTTTGTAACCATTTCTTAAAAGTATGATTACCTGAGATTTTCTTTTATTAACTTTGAAGGAGGAAACAGCAAAAATGTACAACCTAATTGCTCTGAAGATGGCCCTGATTCCAAAAATAACCCCAAAAATACTAAAAGGAACCCTAGAGACCTTCCCAGATGTGACACTGGCTGTGTTGATACCTTGTTTGGCCTTAAGAATATTTTTTCTCCATCTGAAGACCTATTTTCATTTTTAAAGGTATTTACAATGTCTAATTTGGAATGTTAAATTTATATTCATTCTTATCTTCTCAACACTCACTCCTGTCTTTTGAATCTTGAGGTCAACTTAAACTTTGCTTATAATTGTTATGGGCTTCAGGTTTCTGATTTTAACACATTCAACCTGTGATAAATGATGCATAGAATTGCCAAAATCCTTTAATAGTATTGAGACTAGAATTTAGAGATATTTCAAATTAAAAAATTTCAGAGAAGTATTTTTTAAATAAATGAGCTTCTAATTATTGAATTGGGGTATATACTAACTATAGAGAATTTGATTCTTCAAATTAAGTGTAAAGTAATATTTTAGATTTATAATACTGTTTTGATTGCTTAAGGGATTGACTGTAGGTTAATAAATTATGAGGGGTAGTGACTTCTTACTTAGAATATGGATGACACTGTTCCTATGGATAGAAAAATGCTTAAACTATGTATCATAACATTTCTTCACTCAAAATTGTTTTTCAGCACAAAATCAAAACAAAAGAAGAATGGCATAAGCTCATCCAGCTTCTTACAGAATTCCAAATGCAGAATGTAGATTTTTTATATAGTAATCTTGAGTTCATTCTTCCATTACCTGTTGACATCATTCCAGAAACAGAAAAGCTCTGTGGCTCATCAGTAAGCATGGACACCAGTGCAACAACAAAACACAAGAACTGCCTTACTAGGAAACATGCTGGAGAGAAGCCATTGAAAAAGTCACAAAAAAAGAAACGTAAGAAAAAAATGGTAATTCTTGATGATAGTGACTTATTTGACACCAAATTGGACTTTTCTGAATTTCTTTGCCTACACGCTGCATCTTCTTCCTCAAATTCAGAAGAAAGCAAAACCAAAGAAAGCAATTCGGAGGCAAAGGAACTAAACAAATGTTTAAAGTCTAATATTGAATCTATTCCTTGTCCTCCTAAAACACCAGCAGAAAAAAAATGTTCTGCCCTTGTTTCTGACTGCTTAAATTCTCTTACAGAGTTCATGGATAACATGTCCTTCTTAGACGCCCTTTTCACTGATGTAGGGAAACAGAAGGAACTTGATAAAAATGACTTTAGTTGGACAGATGGAAAGGTTAAAAGTGGACTTTGTGATGAGTATAGTCTTGAAAGCAGTGATGTGTGGACTTCTCAAAGCTCTGGAGAATTAAAGGCAGCTGTGGAAGCGCTCAGTTTCACTAAGTGTTCTTCTACTATTTCAAAAGCGTTGGAAACCTCCTTGAATTCTTGCAAGAAATTAGGCAGAGATCCAATGAAAGACCTTACTTTTTATGTTTCACAAAAGCGCAATGATGTGTACTTCAGTCAGTCGGCTGGTAATTTAGAGTAAGTCTTTTTATTTTATTTTTTTATATTTCAATAGTAAATGGTAATGAGAAAATTATTAGGTTCTTTTTACAATTTTGAAATGCTGGGCTTTTATTGATATTAATAATGTTGCTTCTAACTACTTAAGTCAGTTGGCTGCTAATTTAGAGTATGTCTTACTTTTTATTTATTTTTTTATATTTTAATAGTAAATGGTAATGAGAAACTTATTAGGTTCTTACTAATTTTGAAATGCTGGGCTTTTATTAATATTAATAATGTAGCTTCTTCACAGCATCTAAGTGAATGCTGGGAAGAAAAAATAATGAGGGACTAGGATGAGTTAGATTTGAGAGACTCTCGTATTTATTTATTTTTATTATTTCTTTATCCCGAGGACGTGCTTATTGATTTTGGGGGAGGAGGAGGGCAGGAGGGAGAGAAACATTGGTCTGCTGCCTCTCACGTGCACCCTGTCGGGGCTGAACCTGCAGCCTTTCAGTTTACAGGACAGGGCTCCTATCAACTGAGCTGCACTGGCCAGGGCTGGGAGGCTCTTGAATGACAGGGAAAGGGATTTGGATTTGCTGTGGCAGACAGCAGGTAGCCATTAGAGATGCTTCAGTATGGGAGTGGTTGATGGGTTGAAAATGATTCTGGAAATTAATCCAGAATCCATTTGATCCAGTCTAGATAAGAAGCAGGGAAAAGGAGAACAGAAGCTGATTGTGTTTGGGATTGTTACATTTTTATCAGGCATTAAGAATAAAAAGTAATGCATTAACTTTAATTTACAGCTGTGCTCAGAAGAGGATAGCAGTCATTAAGAGGGTATTTTCTGGCCGATCTCTTCTGAACCTGGGGACTAGACAAGCTAGTGTAATGGAATACTTGCCGACTCTTCGAAACATTTGTAGGTCCGAGAAGCTAAAAGAACAAGGAAAAAGTAAAAGGAGGTAAAATCTCTCTAAATTTTTAGTTAGCTATTTCAAGATTAATATTCTCATCTGATGGGAATATCAATATTAAATTGTTTTGCCTTGTAATTTTGACAGGTTCCTGCACTATCTTGAAGGAATTCACCTTAACCTTTCAAAAGAGACTGTGAATACTTTGGCAGCGGGCTTCCCTTAATATTCTACATGAACAGTGCTTGTACAGATTATTATGTGGTCGTTAATATACATTTTTATACTGGTTTTCCTGGAAGTTTATCTCTCTTAATGTACATTTAAAACAGACTATTTGTATATATTAGTGTGCAGATATTTAAAATGAAGACATTTGACTTACAAATTGTATTTATGATGTGGTGTATTCTTTTTAAAATTTTTTTGTATTATCTGATTTAGCTTTGTTGGAGTATTTTTGTATGTGAGTGAACTGTTCCTAGGAGGTAGAAGTTCACTAAGATACTTCTAAAGATGTTTTACTGCTAAACTAATCCATAATTTTTCCCTTTCCTGGTACCTTTAATCCCCCTTTCCAACCAAGTGTTAGTACTCTGTTGAGTTGTAAATGTGAATCTCTTAGGTGATTCTTTTTATTCTAAAATAAGAATCTTTGAAACAAATTGGTATAATCCAGAATACAAAATTGCATATGTAATGCATAAGAAAAATTCCTAAGAAAGAAATTATGTTTCATTTTTCAAAAAGATCTTCATGCCCTGGCAAGTGTGGTTCAGTGAACTGAGTGCAGGTCTGACCCCAAAAGGTCATAGGTTTGGTTCCAGGTCAGAGCACATGCCTGGGTTGTGGGCAAGGTCCCCAGTTGGGAATGTGCAGGAGGCAACCATTTGATGTTTCTCTCCTTTTCCTTCTCCCTCCCTTTCCCTCTTTAGTTTCTGAAAATAAATAAAATCTTTTTTAAAAAGGCAATCTGTTTGAAGATTTTACCTTTAAAAAATCTTCCTGATAATTTTATTTTGGTAAAATAAAGTAATTTGGTACTCCTCCATTGTATTTTACCATTGAATACTGAATGTTGACAAAGTGAAATCAAGATTATGAATTATAGTTTTCATAAATTTTTTAGCAACCATACATGTGATATTTTGTATATTTTGTCAATTCAAATCACTTACCTTGTACATTTTTCTTGTATTTTTATATCATTGATGTCTTATTTCATAAAGATAATGATGTTAATGTATCTACTTCGGACAAATTTAATGCAATTCATTAAAACTGTAACAAAGAAGGAGTCTACTACAGGATTTCTATATAATAGCCATTTTGTCTTAAGGTTACGTTCTGGAGAATATATGTATTTTTTATTACAAGATTTTAAAATACCATGTCACTTAAAATCATTTTTACAATTAGATAATTAAGTATACCTGAAAAAAGTCTATTTATATTAGATTAATATTCGGTTACTTTATCTGGTGAATTACGTTTTCACGTCAAAGAGGATCTTAATTTTGTATAGTTGAAAAATGTCTATACGTACATGCTTAAAATGTGTATGAAGATCTATTTATACTTATTTAACTCACTTTTTTTTGTATTGATAATATATTGATTTAAAGGCTAAAGCTAAAAGGCTTTATGCAATATGGATATAGGAATTCCAGATGTAATCATCTGGGTCAATATGAATTTGGATATAGGCTAAAACTTATACAGGTTTTTCCTGTATATGAGAATAAGATAGATACAAGGCTTTTTTTTAACTATATGGATTTTTTTTTTTTACTGAATAGAAAAGTTCACTACTCATAGAGCACTTACCTATTAATTCGGTCTTTTATTATTAGGAAATTCTGATCATTCTCAATACTTGAGGAACCAAAGTAAAATAATTCCATAGAACTTTTATTTATTTATGTTTTTTAGGTTTAACATATTTTGGGGATTTTTGGGGAAGATTTTTTTTCTCCGTTCTTAAAGGTGATAGGAATTCCTGCTAGTTTTAGTTCTTTTTTTTGTGATAAAATAAGCAAATTTTGATGACTTTTCAATAAATAGCCTCCTAGCTTGTAAATGTCTAATACAGTCACTTTTACTTAGAGCTATTTCCAGAAACAGGTAGGGGGTAGGATACCACGTGACTGGCCTGAACAGCTCGATGGCTGGTGAGGCTATTTACCAAAGTATAAAACAGTAGTTAGCCCTGGCTGGTGTAGCTCAGTGGATTGAGCACGGGCCTGTGAACCAGACAATCGCGGTTCGATTCCCAGTCAGGGCACATGCCAGGGTTGCAGTCAGGTTCCCTGCAGGCCAGTTCCCAGCAGGGGATGCACGAAAGGCAACCATACATTGATGTTTCTCTCCCTCTCTCCTTCCCTTCCCCTCTAAAGATAAATAAATAAAATCTTTAAAAAAAAAAAACAAAAAAAAAAAACAGTAGTTAATGAGGTGGTTTGGAAGAAAGAGGATGATTTCAGACACGTGTAGTGTAAATATCTACACAGCTACATTTCCAAGGTGGAGATGCGTGCACAACCACATCCGTGTATGCAACTGTAGAGGTTTATGTGTGCATGGCAACAGAAGGTAAGTGCTACTTTCCTCAAAAGATGGTCTGTCAAGTAAGAGTTCAAAGGAATATAATGAACTTGTTGACAAGCCTGGTTTATTCTGGACTTGATGGATTGAGGTTTATGAAAATCTCCTTTTGGAGGCAGGGCATCAAACCACATTGTTTCCAGAGTAAGAAGAGGAATCCACAAGTTGTGTTGCCAGTTTTGCTTGATGCCCAGGATGAGCACCATCCAGAACTTATCATTCCCCAATTCAGCAAATTCAGTATGGATGGTATTTGCTTTTAAGGGAAGGTAACTTTCTCGTTTTGACTGGTTAGGAGGTATCTTACTGTTCAACACTTAAACCTAAAAGGTATAGAATCTCGTAAGATATTTATAAATTTGGCCTTGCCTTATTGTGTAAACCATTTAACAACCACAATTCCAACTTTAAATACACACAAACATGTTTTATTCTTCATTAACACAGATGGCAAAACAGTTGGTTTTTATAGCTTTAAAGCTAATAAATAATAACAGTAGAACAGATTATATATTAATTATCAGACTTTTAAGGTTCAGGGGCAAATACTACTAATTCATAGAAGGCGACAGCCTGTAGTAATGAGTCATACAACTCTTCTATTCTGTAGTGCTCAGTGGATGAGAACATCTGTCGGTAGTGCACTATCTTGTCTGCCGGGAAGAATACCCGAGGCTCCTCCTTCAGTACAGAGTCCAAGAGGAGCTGCTTCACCAGATCTTTCCCACTAGTCCGCGTGTCCCCAACCATCAGTTCAAAGTGCTTCCCCACTGCACTGCGGTTCATGCTCAGGACCTGATGCTGGCCCCCCTGGGCAAAAGGTGTATTCAGTAAGGCATACAGCATGGCTTCTATGATATGCAAATGTAACAGTACAGGAAACAGGGTTGAGTTCTGAACTGAAAGTCCTGTTTTTTCCAGAACATAGAGGTCAGCTTTAGGAATCTTTGAAATGACTGAAGAAATCTTAAAAAAACAAAATAAAATAAATGAGTAGAAATAATTTTATTATTTTGGTCCCCTCTCTGTCCCACTTCTATTATTTATTTATTTAAATTGTATCTTTATTGTATTTCTCTATATTACATCTTAGTCCCCTTATATTCCCCCACCACTCTATTTTAAAAATAAAATTTTAGAACTTACATAACTTATATAACTTACAGAACCTATACTGCTATTGACAGTTCTGAAATAATTGGAAACATTTTATGGGGAAGTCAGGACAGCCACATTCTGGCTGTGGTTCTGTCAGACACAAGATGAGCTAAGGCAAACCGTAACTTCTAAAAGTTGTCTTTCAGAACTTTAAAATTGACTTTTTTGAAAGTCAAAACATTGACTTTAAAATTAGACAAGTCAAAACCTTTTTTATTAACCTTTCAAAAATTTCTACAGTAGAGCATAGGGTTAGAATTACTAGCCCCAAATTAATCACTTCTACAATGGACCGATCACATCAGATGCTTGATCAAACCAGTTTTCGCAGGTGTGGTCATGATAATTACTGCCCATCTCCCAAGCTTTCAAAGATTCCAGACAACAAATAATAGCATTTATAAAATAAGCCTAATGAATATAGTGATGAAATTCTATAATATTTAGAATAATATACTTTACCACTGTGTTTTTCAGTATCTGCTTTTTGCCATATAGGTATTGAAATAAATTATTCCATTTTTAAAAACTCATATGTGATGGCAAACAACTGGAATGGGTGAGTGATAAAGACCAAAAGAAAATCCCTTCTTCCTATTTTATTACATTCTTTTGAGGAGTAGTAGATTCAGCTATACAGGGATCTTTAGCAGGTAGGAATTTGAATGTGTAACTGCCTTACCTCTTCTAAATAGACAGATGATATGTATGTTCCTTTCATCAGCTGGAAGCATTCACTTTGCTGCCAGTCTAGCACTGCCAATTTATGGTCAAGGTGAGCCCAGGCAATTCTTCGAGTACCAAAAACAATGGATACGATACTATTTACTGCCTGAAACAAAAAGGCTGGCTTAATTACAAGTGTAAACACTTAACAGATATAAAATTTAAACTATAAAATCAGAAACCCAAATTAGTTTAAGTAACAAATAGATTCACAGTTTATGAACTGAGAATTGTTAAAGAAATGCAGGAGTAAGTATAAAAGGTAGCCAACAGCTGTCAGTTCTCAGCACCTAGCTCAAAGTGGGCATTCAAATGTTGCTGCGGACTGTGCCACACACTGGGCAACCCAGGAACATAGCCATTCATTGTAAGAAATGCCACAACCCAACACTTACACCATAGAGAAAAGAAATGGTCAGGGAAGACTTACTGGAGGACAAGGAAACCAAGTAAAATGGTAAACAAAGTCACTTCACCCAGAAGTCTGCATAGTCTGACACCTTGCACTCGGGCCGTGGACTAGAGTACGTGTGGGAAGAGGGCAGAGGGCTCCCCAGATTTCTGCAAACAGTAACTTGCAATGTACATTTCAGAAAGATGGTGGACAGCTGTGTGGAAGATGGACCAGAGGAGCCTAGACTAGAGGTAGGGATTTGTGTTGGGTCCCTGTTTTATAACAAATTATTAAGGATTTAAGACAGTGAGGTCAGAGATCATGGGAGTAGAGTTGATGTGTGAGACGATCAAAGTGCCTAGGTTAACTCGTTTCATTTCTGTGACTGTCTGGCATCATTAATGATGAAGGCAGCTGATCTGCCTCCTAAGATGACCATAGGAGGCAGGTCAGCTTGAGAAGGCTGGGGAGACAAGTTGTTTTTTAATGTATTCAGTTGAGGTTGCCTTCTAAGGGGAGATGTGTAACACATAACTGGACATATGGGTTTAGCTCTGGGCCATGGCTGCAGACAGAGTACCGTGGCATCACCTCACTCTGAAATGGCTCATTAGTTTTATGAACAAGTAAATTAACATGCTCTATAGATACAGAGCTAGAGAAGCAGGAACATTTCATGACTGTGCTCCTCCCTTTCACTGCTCAGGAATGGATAAGCATCCACTAAGGGCAGAATAGTTTGGCCACCCAGACATCTACAAAGTACAGGTTGCCTTTGGTTCTCAAGCTGTTGTGTGCATAAGAATTACGGAACCAAGTTGCCCAGAGTACTTCATGGGCAACAGAATTTTTCCAAGGGCTTCACTGCATGGTTTTCTCTGTACAAACCGACTTTAGAACCTAGCCCCCTAAATGCTGTTCAACACTTGTAAGATGCAATTCCATGATAATCTGGGTATAAACAGTAGTTTTAGCCATAAATCTGAATGACAATCTAAATACTGAAAAATTTGGTTCAAATATGTTCCAGACCAACTGCAGTGGTTCTGTCAGGAATCCGTGGACGGCATGGGTGAGCCCTGCAAGTCACCAGAGAGTGTCTGCAGCATTCTGCTTATAGCTCTTTTTTTCCCCCCTGAAAAGAGGATCCAAGGCTTTCATCGGGTTTCAAAAACTATCCATAATCCTCCCAAAACTGAGAACACTGGTCCACAAAAATTGTGCTTATTATAAGAATATTTTATCAATTAAACTTATGAATGTTACATAATATATAATTATATCTCAATAAAGCTGGGGGGGGAATATTTTATCAAGTATTGCAACACTGAACTTAAGTTCCTCCAATGTTTAATGTTTGATGAGCCAAGTAATTCTAATACTTTTAAGACAACACTGAAAAAGAGTTGCTTTCTGAATGCTTTGTAAGGGGGTAAGAAAACTTTAAGTCCTATGGACATTAAACTTTAAGTATAATGTCCTAAACTCACTCACTGGCCACAACCCATCTCTGCATCTTAATTTCTCATTGCTCCCAACTCGACTGTCCCCCACAGGCTGATCACCCTGCAATATTCCTTTTCAATGAATCTTGCACAGACCTGCTTCTCTGTATCAGTTTTTTCTTCCTAGAATGCCCTCCTCTCCCAGCTAGCCTATTTTCTCCCTCAGAGATCCAGGGTGTTTTTTCAGTAAACTTTCCCCAACAGTCACATTCCACAATTCTCCTCTGAGTTGCCAATTTACTATCTGTACATTTCATTCTTTGTTATTGATCACATACTACTTTGTACATAAGTTATCTATTAACGTGTATGTCTGGTCCCACCAACTAAACTATAGCTGCCTGAAGAATCCTGTCTTGGTGCCCAGAATAGCGCTTTGCCAAGGAGGTTCTCAAATATTTAGGAAGTATAATCTGTTAGAAAAAGGGTATATACCTTAAGTCTCTCTCTTTCTATTTCTGGTTTGATAAGCTTTTTCAGTAGCCGGTTTTCCTGTGACTTTCTTTTTTTCACTCCAGTCTCTGGACAAAGGATGGAGTTACAAACTTGAACAATAGTTTTATACTGGAACAAGGGCACATTCATTAAACTCTCCAAATTCTGAAATGGCCCATATTTTTCTCTGTGCTCTACAATATTGATGGACTTCCTTCCACGAAGCAATTTGAAAGCTTCAAGTTCTTTATTAGATGCTGTATTCAATACGTGCAAGATGGAAGCCTGCTGTTCCGAAGAGAAGAGTTTGTCAAGTGCATTTCCAGACTCCTTTGTATTTTTGTCATACACAGCAATGTTGGGAATAATTTTCTTGGGTGCAGTGGATTTTTTCCGGCAGGAATTATGTAGGGCCTGGAACAAGGACGACCTTAATGATACCGGGAAAAATCTCCACCTCCCTAAAAGGAAAATACAGCAAAATGTAAGTTGGGATGCTTCCTTAGTGCTAGTTGCAGCTAGACCAGAACCGTTGCAAAGTGACAAAGACTCTCCCATAATTTATGAACTAGTAGACCATATTAAGTTCTACTGAAGAATCATTAAAGTTGTTTCATAACCATATCTCTATATAACTAAACAGGAGGTTGTGGTTTTTATTCACAAGAGATGTCTTCTGATTTCTATGGCTATGTCCTAAGTTTTACTATGTAGAAACGTTATTTTATGAGGCCCCCCCAAAAAAAACCCCAAAAAACAACGGGATTATCTTCTGGTGGGCAGGCCCCTTGTGGTGCAGGCTTCCCCAGCCAGGTGAGTGTTCTAAGAACCTATCTGTATGTGTACCACCTGGTGGTGTGAAGGGCTGTGTTCAGCTTCAGTGAATTTTTTCTGAAGACTCAACAAGTTTGCCCATTTCATGATGGGTGATTTACAAGTGCACCTGCCCACACCCTCACACAGTGCTCAGTGTTCAGCAGTTTTGACCAAAAATGGCCTTGACAACCCAGTACCCTGCCCTCCCTATTTACCCTATCTCAACCCAAGCAACTTCTTTTGTTTCCCCAGATGAAAAATAACCCTCAGAGGGAAACCTTTTTTATCATGTAAAAGAGGTGAAACAAGAAATGGCAGAAACACTTAAAAGGCATCAAAATCTACAAGTTCAAAAACTGTTTTTCGAGCAGTGGAGGGGGAAAAAAAGTCTCAATAGGTGTACTGCATCAAATGGAGAGTCCCCTGAAGGTGACTGAAGTTTAAACATGTAAGAATAAATGCACAATTTTTTATAAATAAATTATGTGTTTTTTGGGGGGTACCCTTTGTGCCCATCAAGAAGCATGGATTTAAAATAACAATTTCTCATGTGTAATATAAATTCTTCTAGAAGCCACAGTAATAAAATAAAATACAATAAAATAAAAAATTTTGCCCTAGCCCAGTACAGTTGCTAGAGCAGCCACCCCATACTCCAATGTTGAGGTTTGATCTGGCGCCAGGGGATGTAAAAGAATCTACCAATAAATGCTGAAATACGTGGAACAACAAATCGATGTTTCTCTCTCTGTATCTATTCCCTAGGAAAATCAGGAAATAAAAATAAAACAATACTTTCAACTGCATAACATTCTTGACATTTTTAACTTTAGAGGAATCTCTTTGTAATTAATACGTCTTGTTAAAAATTTTATTTTCACCTGTTTCTTACCCAGTGGAACCAAATACAACTAAATTTTGTAAGTTTATTATGTTTTAGCTGAGTGGTAGATTTAAGAAGTTTTTCTCTCCTCCTGCACACTTTTCAAGATTTCTACCATGATTATGTTTCTGCAAGCAGAGGGGAACCTATATAACAAACAACTTTGTAAAGGCAGTGGGAAGCCACTCTGACGACACCGCCAGGGGTAAGCAAGCGGCCGTTGGAAGCCGAACCCTCCGCCCGCCGCCCAGTCCCGGACACAGCCGCTCCTTAGTGCAGAGGCGCACCCTCGCTCCAGGCTGGGGGACCGGAACCGCCTCGTCAGCTCAGCTGGGACCCCTAGAGAGAGACCTGGACTTGGGGCCTGAGAGAGGAAACACTCCAGGACCAAGGCAGACGCGAAATTAACCCAGTATTCCAGGCACCCTACCTCCAGCCACGAGGACCCTAGAAACGTTCATTCTCCAAATCAAATTAGCTAGGTCCCACAGTTCCATCTTCCCCCACTGACTTCCGGTTCCTGCGTGCTCTGCCCACAAGTACCCGGCCTTTCGGCGGAAAGTTTCCTGTCCAAGCGGCGTTCCGATGGCTCCCGAGGTGTGTATCGGAGAACGGCCAGCGTGCCGCGGGCTGCATGCGGGCGTCAGGACCCGCGCTAGCTGAGCCTCTGTACGGGAATCCCGCGTTTGGGTCCGCAGACTCGTTCTACTGCTCCCGGGAAACGTTCTTGCCCAGACAGCAGCAGAGCCGAATCTCGGGTATTCTGCCCTGTAGCTGGTAAGGTCCTCCTTCAAGGAGACTCCCTGTATCAATTCAGACACAAAGATTGATGAGCTCCTATTTGGGGCCCTATCTGGGGCGCACAGAGCTGAGTTTGGTGAGGGAGCTTAGACATTTAACAAATAATTGTAATACCAGTTAGAATGAAATAACCGGGAGAGATGCCAGGTGCGTCAGGAGCTCAGCAGGGAAACGGCGGGCAGCCAGAGGGTCAGAGAAGGGCGAAATAGGAGAAGGTGGCGTTGGCACTGGACCTTGACAGTCGGAGCATGTTCCGTGAGGTAGGAAACGATGGAGGTGAGGCTGGCGCCAAATTTCACTGGGCCTTGAATGCAGGATGACCGCCACCAGGTGGCCGGAAGCTTCTGAGGTTTTTGTGGAGACAGACTGGAGGTGTGTTTCCTGGATCGGAGGTGAAGAGGCTGGGAGCAAGGAGAGGAGCTGGGAAGTTAGTGTACCTTACCAAGGGCGACCCTGGAGAACTGAACTTGGGAGGTTCACGGATAATAGAAAAAAAATACTTTCTAGAAAATGGGGAGATTTTAGCTAGTTTTGTGAAAAATAGGGAAGTGAGGAGAAAGATGGCCTTTGGAGGAAAAGGTGGTTGGTTTGTGTATTTATGAGATGGCAATGACTGGTATTATATTGTCCAGGAGGCAGTGGAGATGTAAGGGATTGTAAGTATTCATAAGAATTACTCCTGGGAAACCTATGAATCCAGCCAATTTCAGGGAACTTTGGAATCTAACAAGAAATAAATGCAACTTTTGGTGCAATCCTCCAAATCAGTAGGAAACAATTTTCTTCCTTTTAACTTCAGGGTTTATACCACTCAATGAGGTGTTATGAGTTGAATTGTATCCCTCATAAAAGATATGGGGAAGTCCTAATCCTCCGTGACCTCATTGGAAATGAGGTCATTTCCTCCTCTGGAAATGACCTTATTTGGAAATAAGGTCCTTGCAGGTGTAATTAGTTAAAATGAAAAATGAGGTCACACCAGAGTGGGTGTGACTAACTCAATATGACTGGTGTTGGCATAAGAATGCCCTGTGGCGATAGAGGCAGAGTGAAGTAATGCAGACCAAGGAAGGTCAAGGGTCTCACTCTAGGAGGGAGGCCTGCAACAGACTCACTCTAGGAAGGGACCGGCCCTGCTGACACCTCAACTTCAGATTTCCGACCACCAGAACTGTGAAAAATACATTTCTGTTATTGTAATCCACCAAATTTGTGGCAATTTGTTACAGCAGCCCTAGGAAACAAATACAGGAGGCCATCAGGAGCCCTGGTGATTGATGCTTTGAGAGATGGTGGGGCCCAACCAATCACCTGCTGCCTGCACAGCCTTAGACAGTTTCTCATCCTCTTGGAGCCTCAGCTTCCTCATTTGTGAAATGCAGATAATGGTACCTGCCTCACATTTCTATTAAGAGTACTTCTTGTTAGAAACTGGATGCCGAGAACCTGACATGTGTAGTAAGGGTTCAATAAATGTTGCTTCCTCCTGAAAGCATTACATCATTTGGGAGCCAATGATTAATGAGAGTGAGGGGAAACTCCCTCACTCCTCAGAGCACTCATTCAGACTTTGACCAGCAGCTGGAAGTAGTAGGGAAAGAAGCGCCCACTGGGCATGACTCACTGTAAATCAGAATCAGTGTGTGGAAAACGAAAGTCGTCATCTTCCCCAGAAACCAACTCCTTCTCACTTCCCAGGTTTTCTTGCCCAGATGCAGATGTCCTTGGGTCCTTCCACTCCTTTTGTCATTAAGTCTAGCTTGTGTTTTTTGAAGCTTTTTGGCATGACCTAGGACACATAGATGTACATGTGAAACAATGGCTTCGTTAAAAAACACATGTCTTTACGTGTGACGCACCTTGCTATTTTATATTTCCTGATTTAAAAAAAAAAAAAACACAGATCCGTTTTTGAACCTGCAGGTCCCCAGGTGGAGGAGTCTGGTAGATAGAGGTATAAACCCAAAGCTAAGGGAGACAACTGTGCTGGGTATAATTTGAAGGCCATCAGCACACAGAGATGGCATTTTTGTCCCACGGAAATGCGTGGAGTGAGCCACGGAGAGGGCTAGTATGAAGAAAGCACAGTGAGTGAAGGAGAGAACTGAGAGCAGTACTATTGGGGGTGAGTAGAAGATTCTAATTCCACACTGTCTCACCTCCGGTGCTTGGCACCTGCTGGTCCTTTACTCTCAGATGCTCTCTGCCCAAAATGGTCTGAATTCTGCTCACCTTTTAAATGCCAACAAGGTACCCCCTGCCCGGCCCCGAGAAGCTTCCCTGACTCCAAAGCCAGAAGCATCCCCCATTTCTCGCGAACACTTCATTTCTTTCTCCCTTGTAATGCATATTGTCTGGAACTATAGGGCTTTTTATTTTGTTTTGCTTTGCTTACATGTCTTTGTCTCCTTACTTGACTCTGTACATTTTTCCCAAGGTGTCTGGAAGTTACCGACTAGAATATATAAAAAATCCATTCCTGGTGCCTCCACATCCCTCCTGGAGACAGAGGAGCCCAGTGGCTGTGCCCGGGGCCGGTCCACCCTGTGCTTTAATCCCATGCCCAACCTCAGCACAGTAACAGTGTGAACTGGGGCCAGTGACCTCCCGTCTCTGAGCCTCTGCACAAGTGTGTGCGGACACAGGTCAGAGTTATGTCCCCTACAAACCCAGCACATTGCCTGGCACGTAGGGGGATTCACTAAGTGTTTGTGGAAAAAAATAATGAGTGATCACATGTATAACATCTAAAAGGTTCATTTGGGGGAAAATATTTAAAATTCATTCTCTATAACTTTATGGCCTTGACATAAGCAAACATTTCTAAGACTTGACATAACAGCAATAGTTATAAAGGAAAAAACAGATAAATTGGACGTCATTAAAGTTAAGAACAGATATCTGTTCACCATGTAAAAAAATAACAATAATATGAACGGAGCCACTTTAAAATGGAGTCGGAGCAGCCGTTGCGGAGGAACTGCAAGTCCCTGGTCTGCATGCCCTAGGCCTCACATCCTTGGAATGTTAAATAGGGCAAAATAACTTTGGACCGGGCCTACAGCGATATTATATCCCAAAGCACTGTTTACAAAGATAATAAGAAAGCAGATATGATGACAAGACTGATGACTGAAAATTTAAGGCATTGCTTAGAATGAGTATGCCTAGCTTAGCTTTACCTCTAGAAATGACTTCCTTCAACTGATGTAAGTTTGCCCCTTCCCTTTTTCATAAACACCCCTTGCCTCTCTCCTAATCGGAATACTATGTGGGCTTCAGAATAGCTATTCTTTTGGGATCTCAAATAAATGCTGTTTGCCTCTCACTTTGGCCTGTTATTTTCAGGTTAACAGTTTAAAGGCACCAGTGAAAGGGCAAGTTACAGAGTGAAAGGAGATATTTGCAGTATGTATGCAGCAAAGAGCTTGTATCCAGAATATGTGTATAAAAAATGCCTACAAATGAATAGGAAAAAGGCAGGCAAACCACTGGAAAAAAATGGGCAGAAGACTTGAATGGGCACTTAACCTAAAAGAGGGTATTCAAATGATCAATTAGCAGATGAAAGGGTGTTCACCATATTAGTCACCAGGGAACTGCAAATTAAAACCCACACTGACACCACTGCACACCCATGAGAACAGCTCAAGTGCTAAGATAACACTGAGGCTGCGGGCTGTGCCTCCAGGCTGAGGCAGGGCGGGGGCAGCAGGAACCTCCATGCTGAAGGCAGCCAGGCCTTGCGCAAAGTGTAGAGAGGTGCTTCTTGGAAAACTCAAAGCTCCCTGAATGGTGGGGCCCAGGGCTGACGGCAGACAGCGTCAACCACTAACAACATTGCACGGGCCTGTAAAAGGGTGCAGCAACTGCACATCCAAGCTGGGGTCCAGCATCCAGCACATGAAGGTCTCCAAAGCCTCGTCGGGACTCATAAGTTACTGTGAGCAGCTTGCTGGGGACTGAGACAGGCTAGTGAGCCTGGACGAGCAGTAGAGGGAAATGGAGACAGATCGTTAAACAAGAGTTTGCAGCCATCTAGTAAATCCTATCCTCCCTAAACCAAAGACACTTAAGAGTAAGTGGTTTGCACTTCTCCCCAACCCGAGAGTAAATAGCTTCAATCACCCTACTCGGGGAGATAAAGCAGAAATCCTTGCCAACCACACCCAAGGACAGATAAAGTTAAGGGAATAAATCTCATTTTGGCTCATCAGCATGAAGCTGATGAATAAACTGTTGAGATCCTCCCCGAAACTCTCAGCCTTTAAAACCCCTGAAAAGGAAGGACCTGGAGTGCTCGCTCCCAGGAGTACATTAGTGCCCTCCCCTCTCCCCTCTGCTTTCCCACAGACACACATCTAAACCCTAGGGGACCCCCAGAGGCTTGCAACCTGGGGACAATGGGCAGCGGCAGCTTGCCCTGGGCTAACTCCCTGAGCCTGTCCCCATGGAAGCCTTTTTTCTGACTTCTTAGCTGAAGCAGCCCAGCTTAAGCTCATTTTTAAGCTGTTTCTTATTGTACTGTCCCCAGCTTTAATAAACTTACCCTTAAAGTCATCTGGACTCAGGTTGTGTCATCTTTGTAACACAAAGTCAGAAATCCACACACTACCATCCGGCCCTAGGCAGAGCCGCTCAGGGCCAGGTCCCCAGTCCAGTAGCCGAACAACCCCCTGCTGTTCAGCATCCCAGCCTGAGAACTGGAGCCTTGTGTCATTCTACAAAAATAAATACAGTGAAGTGCGAAAGATAATACCCATAGATGAATTCATCCAAGTG